GCATCCCCATCCACAGCGCTGGGCGCTTCATGCATGGGTGACCAACGACTACGCGTCGAGTTGCCAGAAGGGGTGATGAACACGATTAAACACGCCAGAGCGGATTCTACCAGAAAGCTCTACGCTGCAAAATGGTCTGTGTTCTCCAAATGGTGCACCGACAAAAATTTGGACCCACGGACGTGCGAGGTGTCGTCTTTGCTAGTGTTCCTTCAGGAGATGCTGGATAAGGGCAGGTCCCCATCCACTCTTAAGGTTTACGTGGCAGCCGTCGCGGCGTTCATTGAACCCCGGCGCGCCCAGTCTCTGGGCAAAGACGAGCTAGTCATCCGCTTCCTCAGGGGAGCCAGAAGGATGAACCCCCCTCGCCCCCCTACGGTGCCGGTCTGGGATCTTTCTATAGTTCTGGAAGCTCTGAAAGCCCCACCGTTTGAACCACTTGAGTCCGTGGAGTAGTGTTAATTTCGTTAACGAAAACTAAACGAAAATATTTTCGTCAACGCACATTTTTCACCGAACGAAAACTAGACGAGACGAGACTAAAATCCCCACTAATAAACAATAACTGGGAGTAAATCAGAAATAATTTTCGTAGACTAATAAAGACGAGACGAAAATGCAGTTCGGTAAATAAAGACTGGGCTAAAATCTATGGACATTTTAGTTCACGAACAAAGACGAGACGAAAATTACATATTATTATATGATATGGTTTTGTCAAATACTGTCTCCTCCTCCGCCTCCTCCTCGTCAGCTCTTCCGCCACACACACCCACGTTCAAACCTGGAGCGGGCGGGCACAGTCAGTCAGAGTAGCCTACACAACACGGAGCAGACAGGAGCTGGATTCACGGTGAGGCGGCGGCGACAGGTTAAAAGTAAACATGTTTTGCACGGGGCTCGTGAGAAAGAAGAGACGTGATATATGGACACATTTTGTTACAATGATAAACTAACTAATGATGGCTAACTTTCATAGCATTTAGTATCCAGGCTGGCTATGTTACGTTAGCTTCTTAGCACGTAGCGACCGTAGCCACTTGTTGATAGAATTGTATGTGAAGTTAAATTTATGCTAACTTAGATATGTTATACTGGCAGGGCAACTATAGTTTCAGTTAAATTTGATTAAAGCAGACAGACGCTTTAAAAAGATTTCATACGTTCTAGCAAGCTATGCCTTGTTTCACCTTAAATACTGTACCTTTATATACCATGTGAACTAGCTGGCAGGAAAGCACTTTTGTTGTATCAGTTGGAATTTTTTTTTTTTTTTTTTCACAACATTGACCTCAAATCTATTTATTTTTTTATTCTATGTGAACTAGCTTTAAACAGCCAGCACTTGTGTTAAGTTCATAATACACTTTATTTGATTTATTTGTTTCCTTTGTCAGGTGTATTTTATTTGTTTTAATGCAAGCATTTGTGTTTGTGTCTTTGAACCTTAACAATGTTCAAAATAAATATGAAAATATTGTCAGTACATCTTCCATGTCTGCATGTGTTCCTTAAAATTGTGTTTTTTATCAAAAAGATGAGAGAAAATGTTGAAATGTGAAATAATTTTAGGAAATGTTTAATATTATCTGTTGACAACAAAGTAAAAGGTTAAAATGATGTCCTGACTAAAACTAGACTAAAATGTTGACAGTTTTTTTTGACTAAAACTAAACGAATAAAATTATGTTTTCTTGGACTAAAATAAAGACTAAAATGCTCGACTTATAGTCGACTAAAACTAGACTAAATAAAAATGGGATGATGTCGACTAAATGTGATAAAAACTAACAAGCGGTGCTGAAACTGGACTAAAACTGAAACTAAATTTAAAAATGGCTGGTAAAATTAACACTACCGTGGAGCTTAAATACCTCTTGTTAAAAACCGTTCTTCTGACGGCACTCGCCTCAGTAAAACGTGTGGGGGACATTCACGCGCTGTCTTCGAGCGCCGCGTGCCTAGAGTTTGGACCGAATGATTCCATAGTCATTCTGAAACCTAGACACGGTTATGTTCCTAAAGCGATTGGTACCCCTTTCAGGGCGCAAGTGATCTCTCTATCAGCACTGCCTGCATCCGATAGTGAACGTGACGCTGACCGCCTCTGCCCGGTTCGGGCTCTCAGAGTGTACACTACACGCGTTGCCGCGTTCAGATGCTCGGAGCAGCTGTTTGTGTCGTTCGGTGGCCGCGCCAAGGGACTAGCCGCCTCGAAACAGACCCTATCCAGGTGGATAGTAGACGCGATTGCCTCTGCTTATGCCGCTAAAGACCTGCCTTGCCCTCTGGGCATCAGGGCTCATTCCACCAGAGGCATGGCCTCATCGTGGGCATGGTCCTGCGGGATTTCCATTCACGACATTTGTGTGGCTGCGGGATGGGCCTCCCCCTCCACTTTTGTCAGATTTTATAACTTGGAAGTTCCAGCCTTTTCAGGCTAAAATTCTGGCGGTCTAGTACTCATAGCTCTCCTATAGAAGCCGCACTATCGGGAGTTCTATCACAACCGGCTCACCCCTTGTGTTCCCCTATGTGCTTATGCATTAGCCTACACATCACGGCCCGCTTCGCCAGCCGCCCCTGGGCGTTTTGCACTAGATGATAACGGCTGCTATGCTGGCCGCCTTATTATCTTCATCCACTTAAAGATTCCCCCGGTGTTCCCCCCCTGGGATGCTTAGTGGTTACTTAAGCGTGCACGGTGTTGACCAGGTGTTCCCGTAGCGTAAGCTAGCTTACGCAATACGAGAGAACCTCTCGTAAGAGAACGAATCGGTTACCTAACGTAACCTCGGTTCTCTCTAGATGAGGGAACGAGTATTGCGTTCCCGGCCGTGCTTGCGCCACTAGCGTTTCGCTTCATGCTACAGAATCAACGAACGAGCTGGGAGAGCGACCTTTATACACTGTAGCCAAGCCCCTTTTGGCGGGCTGTGATGCAGTGAGCGAGCGCCGTCCGCTCATTGGCCGCGGACTCAGCGCCGCTCTCCCATAGGTTCGTGCATTCTCTCTGAGCGAACCAATGAGCCGCTAGCTAGCCCGCTCATGGTCTGCCTCAGAAGAGACTGCGTTGACAATGATTACAAAATTATGGAATAATTTTTTGGCTTCAACTTCTCAGCAAAGATGAATCTTTCCCGTAGCGTAAGCTAGCTTACGCAATACTCGTTCCCTCATCTAGAGAGAACCGAGGTTACGTTAGGTAACCGATTCGTTTTGAATGAGTAATCTGAAAGGTTTTCAGACCGGAATGAACGGGTCCAGATCGGATCCGGATAGGCTCTGTCGCGGATCTAGTCTGGATCCGCAATCCTTAACTGTTTCGGATCCGTTGCGCTGTGCAAGTGGACTCCGTTCCGGACCTTGTTCTCACCTCCGCGGCAGATCCGTTCCGGAGTCAGTTGCTATCTGGGCCTCCCCTCTGAACGCGAGCGATTGCAAATGCGTGAAATGCATGGAGGGAGGATTATCACTGATCCAAGACATCAGTAAATTCTTTCTGGCAGCCAAAGTTAACAGACCAAAAAGCCATCTTTTATGTTTGCTAGAAATTAGCCCACATAACAACATTGTGCAAGCCAGAACTGGACCACAACCAGGCCATAGCAATGCCACATGTCAGCCAAGAGCAAAGAAATAAACCAGAAATGGACCTTATATGAGCCACACAATCTGTGTATATTAAATATGGAGTCATCTCAGCCGTAATAAGCCTGTTAGCAAGCAGAATCACTGAAGGAAAGAAGAGAACAGAAAAAGAGATGAACAGAAACACGGAAACTGACTTGAAACCACATCCTTAACTCAACTGAAAAGAAAGAAGACATTACATTTCAGCAGAAGATGATTAAACAACTCCACAAACAGCATTACCAGCTTCACTTATTACTAACCAGACTGACTTTATTTCTGTCAGACTCTGTCTGGGGGCCAAAATGTATTGAGAATTAATAAGCGTTTAACTCTGTTTCTCTGTAACAGGGTTTATTTGCAGTCACCATAACAGAGATTAGTGTTTCCACTACTATATTTCTTGTTTATTTTTTGCTGATGTGACAGTGTGTTTGTCAAACACATTTGCAGTAGAAAAGGAAGATACTGAGATCAGGTGATTGTTTTGAAATCTTCATAAAATAACCTCACGATTACAAACCCTGTGTTTTTGCAGTATTACAAGAAAATCTGAACAAACGAAAGAAAATATGTTAACAAACATAAGCACAAAAACTTAATTTGATGGCACACACAAATATCAACAAAATATCAGTGTATGCATCTCAATAATGGTGACAATCAAAAGTATCTGGCTGCAATGCATGCTGAGTACCAACATAGTACAAAACTCCCAGCATGCATTGCAGTGTGAATAAACTATGCACTGAATTGTCCTATTATTTTGTTTAATATTAAATGTGTTTTTGGTTTTTTTGCTGTTGTTGTTTTCGTTGTAACATTTAGTATATTTTTTGTAATATTCAGAGTTTATCTGATTATCTGAAATTTTTGTTGATTGTCACCATTGTTGAGATTCATATGCGAATTGTTGATATCTGTGTGTCACCATAGATTAACTATTTTACTCATGTTTGTTAAAATCCTCTAAATGATTGATACAGTAACACAGGGTTAATAATGTGAACGTATTAACAGAACAACATAATTAATTGTTATATTCAAATGACATCAGTGTATCAGTCTATTTCATGATGATTATAAAACCATCAACAGGAAACTGTCATCACTGGATTTCATTTCACTTAAACTTTCTTTGCTGCTGAAAAGGTGTTTGACACACACACTGTCAGAAGCCCCAAAAAACAGTATTATTACAAACATAATTTTTATGTTTTTTTGTTTTTTTTTAGTTGAGTCAAAAATTTACATACAGCACCTTTAAGCTGTTATGATTAAATTGTTTTGAAATGCATTAATATTTATTTAGAGATTAAATATCATTGTTACTGCATAAATATCTCTGCTTTGATTCTATAATGCAGGGAACACTTGCAGAAGCTCCAGTGGGAGTATAAAGTGGACACACTCAACTACATTCAGACAGTGAGGGACTTCTGTGACAAACTACAAAAATGGACCCTTGAGAGAGAGAAAGAGCTGAAGATGATGGGAGTCATCAAGGACAAAGTCAGTCATAAGTTTGACTATCTAATGTGCTCAAATAATAAGGCCAAGGCATTGAGGGAGTCCCTACAGAATAGTGTAAAATCATGGGATAAAATATCAGTATGCTTAATATATAAAATCATAATTTATTGGGCATTTTAGTTGGGAGGTGGCTGTCCCAAACCCCTAAATTTCAACTTGTGAAAATGATATTGAAATGTTTTTCTTGTTGTTGTTTTTAATGTTCCATTGGTGTTTTGATTTCTTTTAAAAAGTAAATTTATATTTATATATTTTTAAATGAAACTTTATGTAGAAAAATGTGTCCTGCATTTTCACTATACCAAAACAGTGTGTGTTTTAGTCCACTGGTTTATACATTTTTGATCAGGAAATATTCATGTGTGCCTCTCTCTAGCCTCTCTTTCATTATAGATTGGTACCATAATTTTGAGGGAAATGTTAAAAAGTCTGAAAATCTGTGTGTAACTGAAACGTCAAGCATCTTTTTTTCTGCTATTAAGAAAACGTTTTGGGGTGTTATTCCATAAAATTTAGTTTTTGTGTGTGTACTGTTCAACCATGTGCTGGTTATCATAGGCTCAAACTACCAAAACAGTTATGACTGAAACATCATCATTGTTTTGCTAGTGACAAAGGGAACACATTATCATTTATTTGGGGGAAATAAATAAAAAAAAGTATGCAAGTTAAAATTCTGTGATGTGGTTTCTACCAAAAAAAATATCTAAAATAAAGTATATTGAATTATCAACAAAGATTTTATTACAGTGTTTGGTTTAATGTATATTCAAACAAATGAATCCTTAACTTTAAAATCAGTATGATTAATTTAATGCTTTTTACAAAGAAAGATTGAATTCAAAATACAACAAAAACATTGTTCAAATTGTATTTTATTTATTTAACTATGAAAACTTAAAATTGTTTTAAAAATATAAGAAAAATATATTTACAAGGTAGATGTAAACAAAATATGAATAGGTCAATATAAGCCCTTCTTACTAATTATTTATTCTCATGTTTCGGTAGTGACACATTTGGGGAGAGGGAAAATATTCCCAAACTTTCTGAAAATACAATATAATAATTAACTGAATAATTACTAGAAATGTGTACCTTGGATATTATACAATTTGCATGCATATAAAATTTGTGGAAAAAGGCATTTTTTTCAAGATGTTTCCAACTCTGACTTTGAACCAATTCTGTATTATGGCCCTGAAAAGGAGCTGGAGAAGTACCTGGGTCCTGTCCTGAAGAACACACTGCAAGGGCTGAAGAAACTTTACGTCTTCCTGGATGCAGTGGAGAAGCTCGCGGTCACCTCACCGTTTGTCTTCACTGGACAGAGCTACTGGCCTGAGGACGAGAGAATTGGAAGTGTGCGATCAAGCATCGTAGCTGCAAGAATGACCGCTCCTCTCCTCATCCACTTTAAACGAAATGCAGAAACCTTCTTCGTTCCTTCACTCAGTAACTTGGCCGTCCTGTCCTTTCAATTAGACAAATACATACGAATCACAAAACAGATTTGTGAGAGAATGGAGAAAAGGTTAGTGCTGACATTCATGCAATGTTCATTTTTTAAAAGGATGCTATTTTGATCATATACACGTTATTACACACAGATTATCAAAATAATCTCAGTGGCATTTACTAAATCAATTAAATTTTAGGCTTAGCCCCATAATTTAATCAATAATAAAAAAATTTTTCTAAATTTATTTTTCCCCCTCACAAATCCAAGAGTGATTTGTGGTATAAAGATATTCACAGGTAAGTATTATAAATATTAGGGTAAGACTGGGTTAATTTAAAGGTACAATTTGCTGGATTTTTGCAGTAAAATATCCAAAAACCGCTAGGCCAATGTTATATATTTTGTTTAGTTGATTACTTACAATATCCCAAATGTTTCCAACTATTTGTAAATCGTGAGAAAATTGCGATTTTTAACCAAGGAAACGGGGCGTGTGAGCAGGGGTCGCCAGTCAATGATGTCATATCCACGTTACCCCCAGTTTCCGCCAGGTTTGACCTCGTACTGCAATAGTAACCATGGCGACAGACGTTGACAATTGGGTCGGTTATGCCCGTTATGCCTAGTAGGACGCTCACGCTGTTGTTGTTTTGTTTCAAACATTATGGACCATGTCAAGCAGACTTTGAGACAAAAAGAGGACTAAAACGAAGATCAACATCTTTCGAGCTCCACGTCTGCGACTAACTTCGACTTGACAGAGTCGCGTGTGTTGCATGTTACTTTATTAAACAGGTGAGCAAATGTAAAGCATGGTGAGCAAACTAATCAATGTTATTTAGTTCAACATTATGAAAAGTTAGAATATGATCTGTATGTTATTCTATCTAGCTTAGTCTCATACAGCCAACACACAACCTAACTAACAACTTTCAACACACTCAAATAAGCAAGTGAAGCAGCGCTGCATTACCTGAAGTTTCATTCGTCTAATAAACTGACCTGTGTGAGTAATTCAGCGTGTAGTTCGGTAGAATGAAATGTCCTTATTCCTTTATATCCGCGGGGACTCGCATTGCATGTGGCGCTGGTATACGTCTAGCGTCTAGCCTTGCTTCACACCAGTCATGATAAAACAACCCGGTCTCACCCCAAGACGTCATATAACTGACGTTTTGGGACGTCTTTTGACCATACGTCAATATTCGCCTTTTTAGAGCCCCCTTAAACGTCGGTAGATGAGGTTATGGGATCCTAACTCTACCCCATACCTAAACCTAACCCTAAACCTAACCCGTCACCTAACTGACGTTAAAGGTAAAGCGTCAGTTGTATGACGGCCCGGGATCGCCATCTACCGACGTTTAAGGGGGCCCTAAAAAGGCTGATATTGACGTATGGTCAAAATACGTCCCAAAACGTCAGTTATATGACTTTTTGGGATGAGACTGTGTTAGATAAAAACATTAATATATTCACTCATCCATAAAAGATCCATCAGCTTGACGACATTATCCATAATTCCGCTTAATGCAGAATATACGTCATCAATATACGCCTTTGTTATTGTAAGAGGTTAGCGACCCCTGGTGGCGAAACAATCTTGCATATTGTACCTTTAACATCTTCATTATTCATCATAATCTAAAGGCCAACTTAACTTAATAGTTCAATCTGAATTCAAAATTCATTTGCTTTTATGACAATCTATAAAATACCTCTGTTAATCCTGCTGAAACTCTCTACAGATGCATGAAGGCTCGGCCTGTAGTGAAGTTCAGTTTGAACTTAAGCGAGGACTCCATGCAAAAAATGCTTGATCATTTGAAGCAGTTATCCGAAATCATGTGAGACCAATATTTATGATCTGATGTTTTCCACTCATGCATCGTGAAAGGTGGCTGTAAAGTATATTTCTATTTTTGTCTAGGATGGACCAGCACACAAGGCTGGCTTTAATATTTCAGGAATTGAAGGCTCAGGAATTCATTGGTTTATTCAGTCAGTGTCGCTCCAGACTGGAGAAGCATCTGTCAGATCTGGAAGAGAGTGCAGTTCAGCTGGACAGGATGAAGATGGGGGCCAGTATCTCCACTGTGGCTGGCAGTTCGGTTGGGATAGTAGCGGGTGGTTTGTCCATTGCTGGTCTTGCTCTGGCCCCTGTCACTGCAGGAGTGTCACTGGGTCTCACTGTAGCAGGTCTCGGTCTGGGGGTAACCACTGGGGCCAATAGTTTGGTCACAGGCGTCACTGAAATAGGAGTCAACCACTGGCATGGGAAAAAAGCCCAGGATATTTTCAAACAATATATGAAGGATGTGGAGAAGATTCTGAGCTGTCTGGAGCAGGCCAGTAAACAGGAGCGTGGAAAGGGCCCTGCTGGGTTTAATATCAATACAGCTGGGAAACTGGCAGTTCCTGCTGTGTCATTGGTCAAAGGTATTGATGCTCTGGTAGATGGAGCTTCAGCTGTTAAAGTCCTCAAAACTGAGGAGGTGATTGCGGCTGCAACCAAGGCTGGGCTCCAGGGGACAAAAGGTGCTCGTAACGTTCCCAAACTGGCTGCAGACCTTCCCGACATTGGGAAGCTGGCAAAAGGGACGCCACTAGCTCTTTCAAAGTCTGCTAGAGCTGGATTCATCGGTCTAAATGCCCTCTTTATTGGCTTAGATATCTTTTTTATTTGCAAAGAGAGTATAAGTCTGGCCAAAGGCAGCAAGAGTGAAACCTCTCAGCTCATCCGCTCACGAGCAGCTCTGTGGAGATCTGAGCTGGAGGACTGGAAGAAGATCCACGATTCCTTACGCATAGGGATAACGAGGGTCAGGAAGAGTCAGGAAGTGTTGGAGCAACCTTTCCTTCCTTTAAATGGGTATTCGGTAACTCCAGCCACTTATTTGCTGATTTTCACTTTTCTCGTCGCATGTTTTCTCTGTTTTCTTATTCTTATCTTAGTTTAATCTACCCCCAAAAGGAACTGTGATAAAGTTTCTCTTATAATTGTGCAGACAAAGCTCACGTTGCAGTCTTTTCTAATGTAGACAGGATACATTATTGGTTACAATCAATGTTTTACATGTTATTATGGAACATTTATAAATCATAACGGAGTCGACCAAAGTTTAACCAATTTATTGACACAGAAACGCTGTACTTTAGCTCTCGCCATTCCGTAAACGCACGACCAATATTTATTCTTGTGCTGTCCCTCACTCGGTCAACAGCTTTATTCCTCTCCCTCACCTCCTTCTCCGCCGAGTACCGTCTCATTTTTCTTTACACTGGGGCTTGTAAAGCATTATCCATCATTGCGTGTTGGTTCTTTTAGCTAGTATAGAGCTGGTAAGTCCTGCCCACCCGTAAAACTCAGAGTGGACCTATAGATTAAAAAAGAGTCAATGCAAATGAATGAGAGAAAACAATTATTTTCTGATCCCGTTTGAATTGTGCCATGAATGTGACATATGTTGTCTGTGAATTTTTTATATAATTTCTCATGTAACGAGTTTGACAGTATATTGTATGGTTCTTTGGCTAGCATTTTTCCCTCCACAAATGCTAAGAGCTAAGATGAGCCGTAATTTAGACTCTTATTCTGTCCTGGAACACTAATCAGTTTATCAACTTAACAACTACTTCTTTTTTCAAGCTTTCTGCTTTGCTAATTGATAAAACAGAAATATAAAATAAAAATATCTTACTAATGTTTTATTACTTACTTATGTTTTTTCATTTGCTTATGTTTTATCACCTAATCATTTGGATGTTAAATAGCATTTAATCAAATGTGATCACATTTTAAAAAATCATTACTATAATTTAAATGTTTATTATCATGTGACATGTTTAATACTTTACTTGTATTAATCTTGATGCCTCAAATAGCTGATTGACTTAGTGTTAACTTTTGTACTTGTTTAGATGAGGGCAAAAGTCTTTAAGTTCCCGATAGATCGATGACCAATGCTTGAATGCCTCAGAATAAAGTGGTAAAGTGGTATATTATATATATATATATATTATATATTAGCAGAACATCTCGCAGAAGGGATTTGTGCAGCAGTTCTGTCTTGTGTATCATGTTCAGATTAACAACTTTCTGACACATTGGGGTACAAGACAATATGTGTACGGCCCTTTCCATGGTGTGAAACCACAAAAGAAATAAATGTCTTTGTCTTTTGAGTCTTCTCGAATGAGATGGGAAAGAGAGAATATTTTCTGAACGGGTCAGTCTTTCCACAACTTGACTTATCAAAGAGAGATCTCTCAAACAACCTGACTTATCTTGTTAAGTAATTGTTAAGTAATTGACTTGTTAAGTTTTAAAAAACATATTAAAAGAATGTCTAACTCTATTAAATATAATATTTCTATTTTTAAAAATATTAGGAATAGTTTGGCAATTGAGGCAGCTTTCATGTATTTCAATGCCATGATTTCTTCACATCACTTATTGTTTGTCCTGTTGGTCTCAGGCCAACGAGACCACAATTAAACCACTCAGATCAGTCTATAATCAGGCGTTAAAGGTGCTTGACAGAAAAGCCCAGCGCTATCATCATTGCAATATTTTACGTAAATACAAAGTACTAAGTTTTGATTCCCTAATTTTATTTACAAATTTAAGAACTGTTTTTAAAATTGTTAATAACCTTGATCCCTCAATGAAAAAATTCATAAAACTTTATTCGGAACAAACAAACCGAACATCTCGATCAACGGTTCACAATAATTTGGCTATCCCGAAAAGATCCTCCGCCTTTGCACAGACAGCTTATACATTTAAAGTCATAAAACAATGGAATCAACTCCCCAACAGTATAGATGTGAACCATTTTTCTCAAAACTTAAAGAAATACATTCTTGAGAACCAGCTGTGTCAGCATCCGTGCATTTAATGTATATATTATGGGTAGAGATGGTCTTTTGAATATGTTCTCTCATCTTGTACATCTGATTGTTTTTATGTGACCTTCATAGACTAATATTTTGTGTAGCTTATGATAGTTGTTTTGTAATGTAATGTTTTATAAATTGTGTGCACCTGCCCGTGGGCTGCGGATGAAAATTAGCTTCGGCTAACTCTGGCACAAAACATCTCTTCGTAAGACAAATGTATTTTATGCATTGTCCCTGATAAATGAATAAAGGGAAAAAAATCTTTAGGCAAGAATATTATACTCAGAGTGTGTTAATTATAAATTACTTACTTGATTTGAAGTGATTTTAATTGTTAATCTTTTGATCCTGATTATGGATAAATTACTTTCATTCTTCATATTATTGGATTGTCTGTTTGATTGTTATAAGAAGTAACATTTGACTTGATCATCTGACTGGATCTCCACCATGCATCACTGATAATTCATGTTAGCAAAATAAAAGCATTAATTAAATCTGCTTGATTCATTGCACATGGCAAAAGAATGTTTGGAGAGTTGAAAATCATTAAAGGGTGGAAGTCTAAGCTGAAAACTGTATTCTATATACACATGTGTACATCACTGTCAAATCTAATATAACTGATTAAAAAAAATACTTACACTTGTGTGTGTCTTATGTGTCATGGTTCAATCGGCCGTGTATGGTTCAAAAGCTGAATATTTTCATAATTTTTTTAAAGTTATATTTCAATTGTGAAAGTGTTATTTGTGTTAAGGCTTTCATCTTCATATCTGGCATTATAAACTCCAATATTGTGGAATTATTTGGACCAATAGCATTAAAAAGTTCACTTATTTGAAGGTGGATTAAAACAAAAATGTTTACACAAAATTGAGATACACCGACATAAAGATTATGCATATGATTTACAACAATGGTGACAATAAAAAAAGCTTCATGGTATAATGCATGATGGGTAACTTTCATAGTACAAAACTCCTTGATTCCCAAGCTTTTTTGTTTTGTTTGTCACCGTTGCTGGGAATCATATGCAAATTCTTGATGTTTGTGTGTGAATACAATAATACACTTGTTCAAAAATTGTGTACACATGTTTTTTATTCACCTTCATATAAGTGATTATTTTAAAGCCAATGCCCCAAATAATGCAGTTCCACAAGATTGATGGTTATAAATGCCAGATACAAAGACAAAACCCAACACAACATTAAATGCTCAATTTGTGTTGATTTTGTCAAAACCAATAAGGAGCTGATGACAGCCGATTTTACTTTTTCTTGACTTTCTCTGCCACAACCATGGTGTTATACAAACACACAGTTAAAAAAACTTAAGAAAAGCTAAAGTAAGAAGAGCTGGGACCAAGAGGCCAACTAAAGCAAACACTGATCACCACAATGGTGATTTAAAATGAAACAACTATCAACATATAAACCTCATCTAAACAATGTAAGGAAATTACATTGAAATAAACATGAGTTTTAATTTAATGCATCCTGAGAGTGTTTATTTGGTCCAGAAACAGTTTAAATTGTCTAAATGAGACCATAAATGATGTTGAAAACATGTCCACAATGCCCACATTTGAACTAGTTTTTAAACTTGTTCGAAGGTTCGATGAAAGTCTATATCGGAGGTGCAGAACACGTCAAAAAAGATGTCATAAAAACTTTCATTCTGGCTGCTCAGTGGACGTCTTTTCAACATCCGACTTTTGTGACAAAGACGCTGAAAATACGTCTTTTGGACATCATTTTGCTCAAGAACATATTAAATTTCTTACACAGATGTCACTGGCTGTATGGGTTTGGGTATCTTGTTTTGTTGGGACATTGATAAGAGAAATATCTTACAGTAGGCTATGACAGGAAAAGTCTTCCTGAGGCACGTCCTGGTGAGTTTTGTTGTGTGCAAAAAAAGTCCTGTAAATTAATAGTAAAATACTGGCAGCAGAGTACTTTACTGTAACTGTACTGTACTTTAACCGTTTGGTTCCCATTGAAATCCATTATATGGAGAAAATCTTGCAAATATTTTCATCAAAAACTTTAATTTCTTTTCGACCGAAGAAAGAAAGACACGGACATCTTGGATGACATGTGAGTGATGTGATGAGGGGTGAGTAAATTATCAGCAGAAGCATATATATATATATATATATGCTGAATAATAGCGGCCCTAGCACAGATCCTTGTGGGACTCCCTTAACAACCTCCAATGGATCTGACTGAATACTTTCCACCTGAACACATCTGGTTCTTCCCTTTAAATAAGAAGTGAACGAAAAGAAAGATAGCATTTTCTGATAGTCCTATACTGATCAAAGCCGTGCAACCGGAATCCACTTCAGTCGAGGGATGAAAGAAATGAGCGATACCCATTTGAGGATAATTGAGCTCCCAGACGAGAGGCTTTACGTTTATTTATTTTACAGGGGCAATGCACATTAATAAACATAAATGTAAATGTGCCAGAATTAGCCAAAAAGGTTTTTTCATCCGTAGACCCTTTGACAGAATGTTAAAATGTCACCCTAAAAACAGAGAAAAACTTTTGCTGATAATTTACTCACCCCCATGTCATCCAAGATGCCCATGTCTTTCTTTCTTCAGTCGAAAAGAAATTAAGGTTTTTGATGAAAACATTCCAGGATTTTTCTCCATATAATGGACTTCAATGGGAACCAAACGGTTCAAGGTCCAAAAGACACTTTCAGTGCAAACTGTTCAAAGGGCTTTAAACGATTCCAGATGATGAATAAGGTTCTTATCAAGCGAAACGATCGCTCATTTAAAAAAAAATAACAGTTTATGTTAATACATTTAATAAATAATAAATTAAAACAAATAAAATAAATGTAATACATTTAAAAATGTTAATAAATTAACAGTTTATACGCTCAAATGGTCGCCTTGCTCTGTTCTGTGATGCGCGTTTGTGACTCTCCTGTTCGAACTCGTTCATCAAAATGAACAAATCTTTTTTCGAGTCATTTGGTTCATTCAACAAAGGAAATTAACGAATTTACTCAAAAAGATTAGTTCATTTTGTTGAAAGAGTTCGAACAGGAGATTCACAAACGTGCATTTGTGCTTATAAAACTTCAACTTTGTTATTTATTTTTGAAATGGCCGATCGTTTCGCTTGATAAGACCCTTATTCATTGTCTGGAATCGTTTAAAGCCCTTTGAACATTTTGCAGTTTGTCAATTACCCTTATTTACAACTTTACTTGTTACATTCTGCAGTGACTTTAGGTACCTAAACCAGAGTTAGCAGAAATTGAATTGTGTGGTGCCTCCAACAGAGCAGAATTCCCTTCATTCCCCAAAGGTCCTAAAATACACCATCTTGTCTGACGACGCCGAACATGACTGACTGAATGGGAACCAGTCCCATCATAGTCTCTAGTTTTTCCCTATGAAGCTTTTGGGAGCCTAGAACAATGGTACTGTTGTACAATTATGGTACTAATAATATCCTTTATGGGTAGAGAAGGTATAAAGGTGAACCTATGAGGTTACTCCTAAAATGAGAAAGGTATATGTTTAGCATTTTTTGACAGTGTAAACAAAACATAATTAAGGCCTTTTAAATGTTACAAAAAACATGGTTTTCAAACAGAGATGGGAGTAAGTCACAGATGTTCAAGTCTCAAGTACCTTAAAAAGCAGAATCAACAAAGAAGAAAAATCACATTTTAGTCACCATTATGGGGACTGGTATTTGCTTTAGTTGGCCTCTTGATCCTTAAACTATTAACGTTAGATTAGTTTGGCTGCTACTGTATATTTCAGTTATAATTGCCAGTTGAACAAAGAGAAACGTTCATCAGATAGTGTTGTTTATGTTTTAACATAATCATCTTTTGACATGAATCACTGAACGAATTTGGAGTTTAGTCTCTGACCTAAATGCATATTGGTCATTACAGCATCAAAGAGATTCTGCAGCAAAAGATCAATAGTATTCAATATAATCCAAATGATTTCTTAAAAGTTGGTCTAATAAAAAAAGAACAAATCTTTGTTTAAGGCACACACAGACCTCGAGATTCAGTGTATGAATCTCAACAATGGTGACAAAATAATATTCAATTAGGAAAAAGAAATTACTAAGACAATTAAGATCATAATTTATTTATACTGCAATGCACTATGGGAGCCATGAATGAGTTTTGATTGGTGGCACCCAGAATGCACTGCAACATGCTTCATTTGTTGAGAATCACAGGCTGATTCTTGATGTCTGTGTTTAAAAAAAAAGTCTTTTGATCAGAACAACTTTTAAGAAATCTTTTAGATAAAATTGAAAATACTGAAAATGGTATACTGCAGAATCACAAGTGTAACCCCTCCACCCGGGTCCCACTCAAACCGCTCCGAGCGGGCCTCGAAACCGGGTCTCCGGCATGAGAGTCGGGCGCTCTAACAAGGAGGCTAAAGACTGCAGCCTCTAGCGTCTGTCGCTAGAGCGCCTATTGAGATCAGGGGAGTGAGGTTTACCCACACAGCAACTACTAGCTGGCCTCCGTTACACAGGCTGCTGTATTTATCTAGGTAAACATGCCTCTCTAAATGGGTTCAGTGATTCAGGTCAAATGATTATTATGTAAAAACATAACCATCACCCCCTGATCAGCTTTTCCTGTGTTATAACAATTTATACAGCCAAACTAAATCTAACGTTAATAGTTTAAGGACCAAGAGCCCAACTAAAGCAAATACTGCAAAGCAAATTAAAAAGCAAATTAGATTTTTCTCCTTTGTTGATTCTGCTTGTTAACATCAGGTGTCTTCAATAATGTTCAATCACTACTCAATCAATCACTTAATTAGCTCATTAACTTTAACCCTATTGAGTGTTAATTTAACACTAATTTTAACACTTTAACACTCTTGAGTCTGGGGCCAAATGCACTCTTAGGAAAGTTAATTTAACATCAGAGTTTTTGCTATGTGAGTTCATGGGTGGAATAAAAATATGGCAGGACTTTTACTTTCTGACCCCTGGGCTTTCCACCTCTGCTTGATGGTAGGTACTTGAGACTTGAACATCTGTGACTTACTCCCATCTCTGCTTTCAAAAATAAGTGTGTATAATTACCCATTTTCTTATTACAAATAATTGAAAAAATCAGTTTTGTTTAGAGGCATGTGTGTTCCAGTGCATGCTTCTAACAGTAAATTTGATTAGTATCTGTTTTTGGCCTTGTATTTGGCACACCCCTATAACACAAAATTCTGTTTAAACTTGAACCTCTGAGCTGAGGGGTGGGGCAAAGCAAATGAAAGGAACAGAAAAACAAAACTTAAACCTCTGCCTGGAGCAAAGACAAAAGATTTCCCTCTTACTTTCTCCACTCAGTTTGACAAGTTTCAGTTTACCATCTGCAGACTACCGTGAAATAGGCTACGATGGACACCAGGTGGGTCCTTTTTTTTTTTTATCTAAAGAATAGTTCAAATATTTTTGCCATATTTTTTAGGCTGTAATTACACAAAGTGTAACGTCCAAAAAGCCATGTCAGAATGTGATTAAACAGAGAAAAAAAAATCAACAAATTGAATTTCTAATGTGAATTAAGAACTTTATTACATTAAATAATTGAGCAGACACTTTTATCCAAACTGACTTCCAAATGAGTAGAGCAAGCAATCAAACAAACAATAGGGCATCAAAAAGCAAACCTGCTGTGTAGAGTCCCGTTAATAACACAGTACACGACCGGTAGCAGGGTTTTTTTTTTTTTTTTTTTGAATGGAATTTTTTTTGATGGAATTTTGTTAGTTTTAACAAAAGAAGTGCCAGAATTCCATAACCACTAGAACTGCCACACTGTAAAACCTAACAGTTATATATGCTAAATTAAATTGAGTTCACTGCATTCAACACTGTAAAACATAAAATTAATATTTACTCAATTAAATTGAGTTAACTGCACTCAAATAATACCGAAACTTGAAGTGGCTGAAATGACTAAAACAGAACTCAAACTGAATGAGTTAGAACATTTCTAGATCCCAGAATGATAATTGATTGTATAGTTACGTGATCAATTAATTGATGATTGAGCATTAGTGATGAACACCTGCTGTTAACAAGCAGAATCACTAAAGGACAGAGGAACACAAGAAATACAAGGTTTAAGGTCACCATGATGGAGATCAGCATCTGCTTTAGTTTAACATTAATACAAGGTTTTCTTTGGCTGCAGTAATTGTGTTTATGAAACATTTATTAACGCACAAAATTTAAGAGTATGATTGGTGATGATGGTCAAGGTTTGATGATGACAACCATCACTTAAAGACTTAAATCACTTTTCTCATTCAGAGTCAAATTTTGGACTTAAATGGTAACATATTATTAGTTTTGTTTGAAAATGAGAATATACAGCATAAGGACAAGCAATGATAGTATGAAATATTTTTCAGAAAAATGTTACTCATTACTATGACCAACACAGATATCAAGAATCAGCATATGAATCTCAACAATGGTGACAAAAACGAGCAATACTGCAATGCATATTGAGTATTACCATAATACAAAACTTATCCATGCATTGCAGCATGAATAGTTTTTTAATGGTCAACATTGTTAAGATCCATATACTGATTCTTGGTGTCTATGTGAGTCAGCTTGATGACAGAGGTTTTTAAAATCTGATTGTAACAACAATGAGCATTACAGCCGAATCACAGTTCTTATATAATGAATATTACAAGTTATATATATCATCTGTTTAAACAGAGATTATTCTCTAGAAAAGATCAGAGAATCAAGACACCAAATGATAATTCATTATTTCATAAATCATCATCAAAACACAACCACATGCTCAAATTTTCTTTTGGCTTTTGTGCCATATCAAATGTGTTTAAATTTGGGACCCTCTATGTCCTAAAGTTGGCCTATTCTTTTGCTACACAATGAAAAGTGTTCTTTTTCTTCACAAAAAGAGTACATACTTTAAGGGCGTTGTAGCATAAGTAGGGGAATTGGGATGCAGGTTCTGTCTTGTTTCATGTTTAGCGGTTCCCTGTTATGTTTATTCGTTTTCCCAGGGTTTTCCTATTAGCCATGCTCTCTTGTTGTTTATCTTGCTTACCTCTATCTTGTTAAGTCTGTGTGTCTAGTTTATTCTTTGTTCACTCCTTAATGTTTGTTTGCTGGTAGTTCTGTTCCCGAGCCTTGTTTCCTGAGTCTGAGTTAACGTTTGAGTTTATGTAATAAAAGAAATGCTGCAAATGGATCCTACCCAGAGAGGAACAACTGGTGCTATAAAATAAAATAATTTCAGAGTACTCACAACTATTTTTTACAAACTTAATTGAATTGAGGCAATCGGTTTCTTCAAATGAAATGAGTTAGCTCAACTTGTCTAAACACTGATCTAAAATTAAAAGAAACAATTTCATAAAACTCAAAACAATGAAACAGTTCAGTTTACTTAAAATATATCCTTGAACTTGAAAGAAAAAGAAAGTGATAAATACTCATAAAAGTTCATTTGACTGAACTAATTAGTTTAATTTGAGTTTGTCTTACTAAAATCAATTAATTATTTTAAGCATTAGGGTTTTGATCGCTATCCAATCTCTATATCTTTAATGATAAAAACCCAATTGAGAGATTAATGCATTTAGGATATCTTTTAAAAACAAAACAACACAAAACTGGTTTAATAATACATTCACAACAGATATAGGCTATATTTTCATATCCATTCAGCATAACTCTAAACTAAACTCAGCTAAAAAGTTTCTGTAGTCAAAGGTCTCTCTCTCTCTTTTTTTGCGTTGTTTATATGAAAAACATTTTAAATGAAAATACAGACACTTGTAGGAAAAGTGAGGTACCAGCAGGATTTGTTTTTTCAACAAAGTTAATGCAGATATAAAATTCAATATGGTCCAAATGACCATCATGGCCATTCTATTATAACCCGTTTCTGAAGTCTTTTTTATTTTTTTTAACTTTAACAAATTACAAAATAATAGCAATCGCAGATTATCTGACACACAACTACACTCTCAGAAAAAAGGTACAAAAGCTGTCACTGGGGCTGTACCTTTTCAAAAGGTACACTTTTTTACCCAAAGGCTGCATATTGGTACCTTAGTGGTACATATTAGCATCTAAAATAGACATATTACCACCTAAAATGGATATATTAACACCTAAAATAGATACCACCTAAAAAAGGACATTTTAGCTAATGAAATTGACATATTACCACCTAAAATGTATATATTAGCACCTAAAATAGACATACTACCACCTAAACAGGACATTAGCTCATGAAATTGACATATTAACACCTAAAATGTACATATTAGTACTTAACATATTACCACCTAAAATGGACATATCAGCTCATGAAATTGACATATCCTGAAATGGACATATTAGCACCTAAAATGTACATATTAACACTTAAAATGTACATATTAACACCCAAAATGTACATATTACTTATCAAATTAAATATGTACTTATTAGCTCATGAAATGGACAAAAGTGTATACCTTTTGAAAAGGTACAGCCCCAGTGACAACTTCTGTACCTTTTTTTCTGAGAGTGTAAGGGGATGTTCAAACAGAAATATACATAAGATGACAGCAACAAAAATAAAATTAGTCTCTACCATACCACATGATGGAGGCATTGATGCTTTCTTCCAAGTGTCAGTCCTGGAGTGGATAACATATGTCAAAAGTTCCAGGGGAATAATTACTCTAATGATTGAATGCCAACCTTTAGAGGAAGGCTTATCAAGCTTCAATATCAATTCAACATAAATGTGAATCAAACATTGACTGTTTTCAAACAGTGTCTGAAGCAGTGTTAAAGTTAACGAGCTCATAAGTGATTAATTTAGTGATGGTTGGCCATAATTGAAGACACTTGATGTTAACAAGCAGAATCTGAAGGCGAAAATTACATTTTAAGCCACCATTATAATGATCAGTGTTTGCTTAAACTATAAATTATCAGTTTTTTGTTTGGCTGATATAATAGAGATATAATGAACATTGAGAAAGGTGATCTGATGGTGGTGGTTGTGTTTGATATATTCATCACTTAAGATACATTGTTGAGATACACTGATTATAGATGTCTGAGTGTGCCTAAAAGAAAGCTTTATTTTATCAGAAAAACATTTAGGAAATACTTTGGATTTAATTAAAAAATTATATCAAGAGCACTATCATGTCATATTTATCAAAACATTTCTAAGATAGAGACTAAATTAGTTCAGTTGTTCCATTCAAATAATGGTTTTGTCAAAACAACCAACACCATCAATTCACTTTTATACTACAGGGCTGTTGAATGCTTGATTCTGATTGGTTGAGAACGTTCTAAAGGTGTGCAATCATTTTCAGGGAAACGCACGGCTAAAGTAGTTTCAGGCAGGTTTGACCGCATTACAGTTCCACATCACTGCGCGTAGTTAACAGTAATAAAGGAAAATAGGATACAATTCATAACAAGAAAAAACATGCAGCCCTATGCATATACATACAGTTTAATTTTAATAAATAAAGTATGTAGTATTTCTATAATAGGCTAAATAGAAAATTAACTTAAATAGGCTATAAATAAATTAATAGCTGCTGACAGGTTTTCGCAGTTATTCCAGATGATATAACAAATAAATAATTATTGAACGGCCTACTTGTTAAAAGGGCTTTGTGTGTTTCACTTATTGGGTTATCTACTGTCAATTATAGAAAACAAGAATGAACGAATTAATTAAAACAAATTTAATTAGGTAAATAAATAATATTATTGATGCACATGCTTTTCTGTCTCATTATTTCAACATCTCTCTTACTCTCTCTAATAACTGCATAAAGCCGGGACAGGCTTAGGCCTACTAAGGCCAGTTATGAATGTAATTTGAGACTTATGACTAATCATGCCCAAACTCGTGTTCAGCACGTTCAGTTTTACACGGTCAGGTCTTCGAATATTTCAGCGAATCGTAAGTGTGTGTCCCCATCATTTTTCAGATTAGATGCGCAAGTAATTAGAGCGTTTTAATGACAAAAACTTGACAAACGTCTTATATGCATCATCTGAACAATGTTTTACATTTACATTTATGCATTTGGCAGATGCTTTTATCCAAAGTGACTTACATTGCATTGCTACACATTTACATTCTCATCAGTTCTTGCTTTCCCTGGGAATCGAAACCATGACCTTGGCGTTGCAAGCGCCAACGCTCTACTATTTGAGCTAAAGGATCGTTTTTTTAGGTGTGGTAACTGTAGTATAAGTGGAATAATAACTTCAGGCCATTGAATTATTAGAAAAAATAATGCTCACCCGAGGTGTAACAGTCACTCTACTTCGTGTGCATTATTTTTCTAATAATTCAATTGCCTGGCATCAATTATTCCTTACTAATGCTTTGTTCATCTGTCTGTTTTCCACAGCAAGCAATCATATTGTAAAGTTAAAAACTTTGGGGTCGAGAGCCAAACTAAAGCAAACACTGATCTCCATAATGGTGACTTAAAAATTACGATTTTCTCCTTCAGTGATTCTGCTTGTTAACATCAGGTGTCTTCAATAATGACCAATCATCACTGTGTGTGTGTGGTGTTTGGGATGATGCAGATTCAAATTATCCACCATTACTTTTCCGTTGCTTAGTCCCGCCCACAAGTGCAGGATTTAAGGATAAGAAATAACTGTGGGGGTTTTTTTTGACAGTGTATCTATGTTTTTTTCATGACAGTATTTTTCTGTTTTTAAACAGACATTTTCTGGCACCCCTGCTGCCATAATTTTTTTTATTTTATTTATTTATTTATTTATTTTTTTTACAGAGTACGTAAATTGCTCTTTTTTGATTTTATAACGCAGGAAACAATTACAGGAGCTCCAGTCGAAGTATGTAGTGGACACACTCAAATACATTCAGACAGTGAGGCACTTCTGTGACAAACAAGACGAATGGACCATTGAGAGAGAGAAAGAGCTGAAGATGATGCGAGACATCAAGGACCGAGCAGACAAAGCCAGTCAAAATTATGACGTTCAAAAGCGCTTAAATAATAATAAGAAAGCCAAGGCATTGTGGGAGTGCCTGAAGAATAGTGTAAAATCTGGGTCCATTTATAAGGACCTGGAGAAGAAACTGGGTGCTGTCCTGAAGAACACACTTCAGGGGCTGAAGGAACTTGACGTCTTCCTGGATGCAGTGGAGATGCTCGCGGTCACCTCACCGTTTGTCTTCACTGGACAGAGCTTCATGTCTGAGGACGAGAGTCCTGAAAGTGTGCAATCAGTCATCATGGCTGCAAGCATGACCTCTCCTCTCCTCATCAACTTTAAACGAAATGCAGAAACCTTCTTCCTTCCTTCACTCAGTGACTTGGACGTCATGTCCTTTCAACTACACAAATACATACGAATCACAAAACAGATTTGTGAGAGAATGGAGGAAAGGTTAGTGCTGACATTCATGCAATGTTCATTTTTAAAGGATGCTATTTAGATTAATTACACATGTTAATACACGCAGATTATCAAAATATTGATTATCAAAAGTACTATATATGTTAGGGTAAGACAGGGGTTCATTTAACATCTTCATTATTCACCATAACCTAAAGGCAAAACTACACTTTAAAAAATAAACCGTAAATTTTACGGTAAAAAAAACGGCAGCTGTGGTTGCCAGAACTTTACCGTTAAAAATACGGTAGGAACGTTAATGGTTTTACAGACTTAACTTACAATTTACAGTAATAAACCGTAATTTATTTTCTGATAAAATGTTGATTTACCAACTTATTGATGTATTGATATCTGTTTTAGACCATTGTAATAGTGATGGCCGATTCGTGAACGAATCGTTCTTTTGAACCGGTTCTTTTTAGTGAACCGGTCGAACCAGTACACTAAATCGGACTGAATCGTTCGAAACAGTTCGCGTCTTGCGTCAGTGCTAAACCACAAGTTACTAAAGTTACTCACTTTCAGACATGCCTGACAATCCCTCCGAATCGAAATAAACCAATATCCAGAAGTATGACTTTATTCCAGTAACTCAAAAAGTTCACTGAACGGAGACATATATTGGTGCTGAGAGAAGTGATGAGCACGAGCAGCTGATACTGCGCATGCGTGTACTACCGAACGTACAGATACAGCGGTCGGATAACCAGTACAGAACCGACTGTTTCTTTCAGACACGTTCGACATACTGAGAACTGATGAGTTGATGAGCTGAGCATGCGTGCATTTTTTTTCTGAAGGACGAAATGTACGTTTCCATGTCTTTAGTTGAACATCAGTAAGTGTAACAAAATAAAACATTTTGGAAACATGTTTATCACATAATTACTGTATCACTGTATTATTTTAACGATTGGAAACCATGATTGGATTCTAAAACTGTCAAACTAAACATTTATTATTATACTAAAATAACATTTTCAGGAACAGCTCATTTCTAAGTAACAATAAATCATTGATGTAAACTCTTGCCAAGGTTTTAATGGTGCACTGCTTAGTAAATGTTTATAATATGTTAACATAACGAATTAAACATATATGTTTAATTCGTTATGTTAACACAAACATGATGTATACTGTATAGGCTACAGAAGGCTATATTGGAGACAGACATGCATCGATTTTTTAGTTTTGTCGACTGTATATTCAGGTTTCAGCTCAGCACACAGCTATGCTATGGTTCTCGAGTCGAGAACTGGTTGTTGCAGTTCTTGAATCACTAGTACAGAACCGAGAACTGTTTTCTTTGGGACACGTTCGATACGGAGAACCGATGAGCTGGAGATACTGCGCATGCGTGATAGCACCGTCTCTGAACAGAACTTTCTTTCGGCCGGCTGATCCTGTGCTGATACACGAGCACGCAGTAGTACGGGTGAACCCAGGACTTAAATGAGAGGGCGAATCGGCGAAATGTACGTTTATTTAATAACAAATAAAATGATGAAGACCATTTATGCATTTTATATATTTAAAACATGTAAAATATCCACGTTAGCACATCGCCTAGGCTGCAACAGGGTTAGTTTTCAAAATGTAAATGTAAGAAACTTATCCAAGATGATTATGACGATGTGTACTATTATTTAACTGAAGTTATGATTAAAAATGCCTTTAATTTGAAGTATGACGATGTGTACTATTATTTAACTGAAGTTATGATTAAAAATACCTTTAATTTGAAGTATTTTTATCCGCCGGGATGATAGAATTGACGTCATTACGTGATGACGTAATAGAACTGGTGAACCGTTTTTTGAACCGGTTCATTAAAACGAACTGTCCAAAAGAACCGGTTCGCGGAAAAGAACCGGACCAACAATCATCACAGCAGTGATGAGTCACATGATCAATAAAAGCCCATCACAAGTGAATACTTCTATAAAGCAATACTTATTTAAAGAAACTGCACAATGTCATTCACACAAACATTAAGCACCATCATGGTAAAACAAATGCAATACACATTAATTTAACAACATTAAATGTAACATATAACCCTAATGTACATAAATGATTAGAAAAAAAACTATAAAACTATGAGGAACCATAGTTATTTCAACAAAAATACATAAAATGTGAAGTGTCACACAGGGAATTGCGGGAATGTCAATTTACGGTTTTTCACTGTAAATTATACAATGATTTGTTCTTTTTCACTTTCAAAAACTGTAAATTTAACGGTATTTAACTGTAAAATTATATCACAGTTACTTACCGTGTATAGTACGGAAACTTTCTGTTTACCAATTGACAGTTTTGCACTGTAGCATTTTTACAGTATTTTTCCGTTAAAATCACGGTTATTTTTTACAGTGTAAGTGGAATCGTTCAATCTGAGTTCAAATTCTATTTGCTTTTATGATAATGCTGAAACTCTCTACAGATGTAAGAAGGCTCAGCCTGTCATGGAGTTCAGCTGGAACTTTAGCGAGGACTTCATGCAAAAAATGCTTGATCATTTGAAGCAGTTGTGCGAAATCAGGTGAGACCTACAGTATATTTATGATCTCATGTATCTTGAAAGGTGGCTGTACAGTATATCTTTTCTATTTTTTGTCTAGGATGGACCAGCACACAAGGCTGGCTTTCATTTTTCAGGAATCGAAGGCTGAGGAATTCATTGGTTTATTCAGTGAGTGTCGCTCCAGACTGGAGAAGCATCTGTCAGATCTGGAAGAGACTGCAGTTCAGCTGGACAGGATGAAGATGGGGGCCAGTATCTCCTCTGTGACTGGCAGTTCGGTTGGGATAGTTGGGAGTGCTTTGTCCATTGCTGGTCTTGCTCTGGCCCCCGTCACTGCAGGAACGTCACTGGGTCTCACTATAGCAGGTCTCAGTCTGGGGGTTACCAGCGGGGTCAATAGTTTGGTCACAGGCGCCACTGAACTTGGAGTCAACCTAAGGCATGGGAAAAAAACCCAGGATATTTTCAACCAATATATGGAGGATGTGGAGAAGATTCTGAGCTGTCTGGAGCAGGCCAGTAAACAAGAGCTTGTAAAGGGGCAGGGATGGTTTTATATCATTACAGCTGGGAAAATGACACTTTGTGCTCTGTCAGTGAGAAAAAAAATTAAATCTTTGGCAAAAGGAGCATCAGCTGTTACAGTACTCAAAACTGAGAAGGTGATTGCAGCTGCCACCAAGGCCGGGCTCCAGGGGACAAAAGGTGCTCGTAACGTTCCCAAACTGGCTGCAGACCTTCCCGACATTGGGCAGGTGGCAAAAGGGACACCGCTAGCTTTTTCAAAGTCTGCCAGAGTTGGATTAATCACAGCAAATGCCCTCTTTATTGGCTTAGATGTCTTGTTTATTTGCAAAGAGAGCATAAGTCTGGCCAAAGGGAGCAAGAGCGAGGCCTCTCAGCTCATCCGCTCACGAGCAGCTCTGTTGAGATCTGAGCTGGAGGACTGGAAGAAGATCCATGATTCCTTATGCATAGGGATAGAGAGGGTCAGGAAGAGTCAGGAAGTGTTGGAGCAACCTTTCCTTCACCAAGAGTCACAGCCACATCATCAGCAATGGCAGTTTTATCCAGTTCAAAATTCCTCTGCCAGTTCATGGTGGCGATAAGGAGCTTGGCCTGATGCTTGTGGAAGCACGGCTCAGAGATCCCCTGGATTTTGAAGGCATCCAAGAACTCAAAGAAAAAAATACATCTTCATATAATAACCTGAGGGGTGATGCCCAAATATGACGGCGCTGAGATGAGCAGTCATTTAGACCAACAGTTAGACTTGCTGTCTTGAAACATTACTCAGTTTATCACCTTCTTTTTTCAAGCTCTCTGGTTTGCTAATTGATAAAACAGGAAAATAAAATAAAATATTTTACTAATGTTTTATTATTTACTAATGTTTTACCATTTGCTTGTTTTATCATTTAATCAGTTGAATGTTAAATAGCATTTAATCAAACGTAATCACATTTTAAGAAATCATTTCTATAATTTTTATGTTTATTATCATGTGACATGTATGTTTAATTCTTTACTTTTATTAATCTTTATGTCAAGTAGCTGATTGACAAGTGTGAACTTTTGTACTTGGGGAAGAAGATGAGGGAAAAAGTCTTTCAGTTCCCGACGACGAATGCTTGAATGTCTCAGAATAAAGTGGTAAACCAATGTTATGCAACAACTTGACTTATCTTTAGGCAAGAATATTATACTCAAGACTGAGTGTGTTAATTATACATAACTTACTTAGATTAGAAGTGATTTTAATTGTTAATTCTATCTTTTGATCCTGATTATGGATACATTACTTTCATTATTCATATTATTTGATTGTCTGTTTGATTGTTATAATAAATAACATTTGATTTCATCATCTGACTGGATCTCCTCCATGCATCACTGATAATTACTTTTAGTACAATAAGCATTAATTAGATCTGCTTGATTCATTGCACATGGCAAAATAATATTTTGAGAGTTGAAAATCATTACATGGTGGAAGTCTAAGCTGAAAACTGTATCCTATATACACATGTGTACATCACTGTCAAATCTAATATAACTGATTAAAAAAATACTTGCACTTGTGTGTGTGTCTTATGTGTCATGGTTCAAAAGCCGAATATGTTCATATTTTGAAAAAGTGCTGCCTACATTTTAATTGTGGTGAAAGTGTTATTTGCTCTTAGGGTGTGAGAGTCTCAAGTGCGTCAGTTAAACACTGACAAATCAAATGATATTGTAACAGGTTAAAAAAAAGGTAATTTAATTTATACATAATTTAGTTATCTGTCCCTTTAATAAGAGTTGATAAGAGATGGAAAAAGTTAGTAATATAAAAATAAATACATGATTAATTATGCAAATTCATTCTAGACAAAAGCTCGGTGAGCAACCAATGAGAGCTCTTTGTCATTTGCGACATGGGTGTCGACGAGCATGCTCAATGACAGAAGAGACGAGCTTGATTGAGAAAAGCAGATGCAATCTGATTGTTGTGATCCATTTTATAAATCTTAGATTGAAAATCTTTGAAAAAGGAGGTTTGATTAATTTGATGCATTCTGAATAAGAAGCCGACTGAATAGAGGAATACATTCTACCTGTTCATCGACGCCATTTTATGATCACGCACGCCTGTGGAAGAGCAAAAGAAAAATCGATCACAAAGAGCAGCAGTCACCTTGTACAGCATAACACTTTTAACATTTACAATGTATTCAAAATAATTTCTTAAAAGCTTTTCTTATACAATTTTTTACTTCTCTACAATTTTAAGACAGACATCAATAATTAGCCTGTGAATCTCAACAATGGTGACAATTATAAAGCATGTTGCAGTGCATTCTGGGTGCCACCAATCAAAACATATTCATAGCTCCCATCATGCATTGCTGCATGAATAAATAATGAGCTTATGTTCAAAGGTGATCTGATTGTCACCATTGCTGAGATTAGTATGTTAATTCTTGATGTCTGTGTATGTCTATATAAAATATTTCTGGGATTTGACGATATAAATGACGATCACAATGAGTTCACCGTCGCCATTGTTGGTCACGTGTCTGTATTAGAGAGAAAGACATCGGTTAAAAAAAACAATGGAAAAAGTAGCGCAGTTCGGTAGGAAAAACATGTTCTTTTGTACCACTAATTGTACTTGTAGTATTTAATTTAACTAAACAGGCTGTGTGACTATGGAATGATCATGACCTCAAAATATGTCCATATAAAAGTTTGAGGGACTTTAAATACACCTCTTTAACTGATATAACAATGAACTCACACAAAAACTGATTATTTTTGTACCAATGATCTTATTTATTGTAGTGCAAAGAGAACAGTGACAGTGAGATTAAAGTGATTTATTTATGTACCGACCCCATCAGTCCAACACCAACAGCAAGACCGAACAATGAAAACACTGTGATAAAACACAAACACAACATCATCTCTGACTGAACATTCAGAGCAATAACAGTGGAAAACTGCAGAACAAACACACATCTAGAGATCGTACCTCTGAAATGAGGAGCAAACCTCAGTGTTTGGACTGATAAGGGTGAGATCAGTAGTGTTTCTGAACGTACAGTAGTGAAGATCAATAAATACAAGCTACAGGATCCGTCCTTCAGCAGCAGACTTTGGTGAAGTTAAAAAACAACCATTATAAAAATGGCAAAGCAGCATCAGTTTTCACATGCAAATGACAACGTGTGCGACAACAATTCTCACTTTGTTTTGCACAATTGGCTTTATGCACAGCTGCACTACTTCCTGAACTTCAGCCAGCTCCTTGTTTCCTGTCTTCCATTATTGGACAAACTGATTAATTCAGGTGTGCCTGACCTCAGTAGTCACAACAACAATAATCAGACACACCTGAATTAATCAAGATTGTCCAATAATAGCAGACAGGAAACAAGGAGCTGGCTGAAGTTCAGGAAGTAGTGCAGCTGTGCATAAAGCCAATTCCCACTTTGTTTCGCGCATTTTCCCACTGTTTCGCGCAATTCACACTATTCCCACTTTGTTTTCCGCATTTCCCACTTTGTTATTATAGTTAACAAAAACTGAAACTAATCAGAAACTAAAACAAAATTGGAACTTAATAGACTTGAAAGATGAAAAGTACACAACAAAATTATTAAATTAAACTGAAAATTTACAAATTAAAGCCAATAAACAAATACTGGTAACTCTTTACAACAATGTTTTTATCACAAGTACTACATTGAAAATTTCGAAAGCATTTCTTATTTAATGTTAATTAGAACTAACAATGGGAAATGTTAGTGTTAAAGATGAATAAATACTGTAAGAAATATATTGCTCAGTGTTAGCTAATGTATATTTTGGTAACGCTTACCAATAAGGTCCCATATATCAATGTAGTATTGTAATGTAATGTTAAGTGTAATCAAATATATTATTAAAAGCTATACTAGTATTTAAATAATAGTAAATCACGAGCTGTTGTGACTGATCTGGAATATTCTCACCATGTTGTACCAGGCCGAGATGATGAGCTTCTCCTCCTGATCATGTCTGGAGCGACTCTTCTCAGAATCATGCTGAACACACACCAGAACAAGACGATCATTACCATAGTTAAACAGAGTCAGACCAATAGTGTGTGAGAGTGTGTGTGTGTGTGTGTGTGTGTGTGTGTGTGTGTGTAAAAGTGAGTGAGAGTGTGTGTGACCTCCATATGTTGTATCCTCCTGTCTTTCTCCGTCAGCTGGTTCTTCAGGGCCTGAACTTCAACTTAGACGTAAGTAACTTCAACTTAATCACCTGAAACACACACACAACATTTACATTGTAATGTGTGTATAAAAATAGTAAAGAGTAAAGAGTAAAGATGAGGTCAACTAACCGTGCGAGCTTTGTCCACGTATCTCTTGTATCTCTCCTCCATTCGTCTCATGTCTTCATCCTTCTTCTTCAGGATCTCCTGCAGCTCATCGACCTTCTTTGCCACTAACACACACACACACACACACACGCACACACACACATTTCCATAAGAACAGTCCTCAAAAACACTCCTTCCCATTCAAAACCACTGCTTGTCGTTATATTTTAATGAACTGATGCAAACGATACAAACACACTCTCTTTCCGGACTCTAATGAACGAATCATCTGATTGTGGATTGATTCAGAGAATAATAAGTCATTACCAGGCAATATCGGTTTAATAAGCAAAGTTAAGGGGGCTGATATCCCAATTTAGCTTTGTAAATCATCAAATACCAGTGCATTTTTCTTCTAATATTAAACGAAGGCCAACTAAGCATTTTGTATAGATCACAATGGTGTGTTGCAAATCGACAGTCAGTTATGAATCTCAGAGCACCGGTACAAAGCATCAAGAGAGACAAGAAGATTAGAGGGCGCGTTGATACACACATCCCCATTGTCAAAAACTGGTAAAAAGTAGCACACTTTCTGCCTCGCATTAAAATCATGACTTGTTTCTAAAATAAAATATTTTCTTGAGTTTGAACCAAAATGTGATGTGTTATGTATAATAATACAGAGGTATTTGTACTCTGATACTGTAATCAGACCCTGAGAAACCTGAAGAGAGATTGAATTTCAGTAGAAATTTTAGAGTTAGAAAAGAACATACTTTTAGTTTTTTTTTTCCTCATTTAAAACCAGCTTCAAGGCAGGTACAAAACCTATTTTGAATTATATCGAAAGCAGATTGTAAGAAAGCCACAAATTGTTGCTTAGAGGAAGCGGAACAATATATAATAGTACCATCTGCTTAAAAATGAAAACTTGTATTATCAATATTAAAATACAGACAATTTATATATATATATGCCGAATAATAGTGGCCCTAGCACAGATCCTTGTGGGACTCCCTTAACAACCTCCAATGGATCTGACTGAATACCTTCCACCTGAACACATCTGGTTCTTCCCTTTAAATGACAACCATAAGATAATATTTTCTGTCCTACTGATCGAAGCCATGCAACCGGAATCCACTTAAGTCGAAGGATGAAAGAAATGAGCGATACCCATTTGAGGATAATTGGGCTCCCAGACGAGACGCCGATTCGTCAGTACCGATGTAACGTTGAACGTGACTGATTGAGTGGGAACCAGTCAGTCCCATCTCTAGTCTCTAGTCTCTGATAGAGCTGAAGCTTATGATGCTTTGGGGAGCCCAGAACAATGATACTCTGTTACAGTTATGGTACTAATATTTGTTTAGAGGCATGTGAGTTCAAGTGAAGATTATTCGAAAAATTCGAAAAATAAAAATCTGTTTTTACGATACTGGCCTTGTTTTTAACCCAGCCTATAACACAATTCTTTTGAACACTTGAACCTCTGAGCTGAGGGGCGGAGCAAAGGAAATGAAGAAAAGAAAACAAACTGCAAACCTCTGCCTAGAACAAAAACTAAAGATTTCCCTCTTGCCTTCTTCAGTCAGTTTGACAAGTTTCAACAGAGTTTACCGTCTGCAGATTACTGTGAAATAGGCTACGATGGACACCAGGTGGGGACTTTATTATATGTTATCTTAAAATTGGTTCAAATATTTTCCATCCTTATTTTTGTATTTACCTCTAAAACAAAAAGCCATGTCAGAATGTGATCTGATCAGAAAAAAGTCAACAAATTTCCATTTTAATGTGAATTAAGAACGTTATTACATTTAATAATTTAGCAGATGCTTTTATCCAAACTGACTTACAAATGAGGAGATCAATAGAAGCAGTCAAACAAACAATAGGGCAACAATATGCAAACGTGCTGTGATGAGTCCCATTAGTCGAGCGCAGGACACGACAGGTATCAATTTGCTTTGTTGCTGTTGTTTTTTGTTGTTGTTGTTGTTTTAATGTTAAAACCCGTTTGATGAAGGTTTTTTTTTTGTAAATGTGATATTTGTGTTATTAACTTTAACAAATTACAAAATAATTACAAACCTAAATTACCTGACACAACAATGTGGATATTCAAACAGAAAAATACATAAGATGACAGCAACAGAACATTGCTCTACAAATCAAACTAGGAAAAGGGAATTACTAAAAGAATTCAGATCACAATTTTTTTTCATACAGCAATGCATAATGGGAGCCATGAATGAGTTTTGATTGGTGGCACCCAAAATGCACTGCAACATGGTTTATTATTGTCACCATTGTTGAGAATCACAGGCTGATTATTGATGTCTGTGTGTCCAAATAAAATATATTTTCAAAGTCTTTTGAATAGAACAACTTTTAAGAAATATTTCGAATAATTCAACGACTGAAAATATTATATTGTGTAGTCAAAAGGTTAAACTTTACAAATGAGTTTTGTGACACATGATGATTATATCTAAACATAACCAACACCAAATTGTCAGCTTTCCTCGCTTTTCATCTGGCTGTTATAACTCAGATACAGCAGTCGATAAAAAAACTTGCAAAACAGTTTAAGGGCCGAGAGCCCAAGTAAAGCAACACTCAAGTTTTTGCTGTGGGTGAAATAAAAAATGTGGCAGGACTTTTACTTTCTGACACCTGGACTTCCCATTCACAAGCAGGCCATAGATGGCAATGCCACATTTCAGCCAAGAGCAAAGAAATAAACCAGATCTGAGCAACAAAATTGGTGTTATATGTGGAGTCATCTCAGCTGTACTAAGCTTGTTATCAAGCAGAATCACTGAAGGAAAGAAGAAACGAGATAAGCATCAAACACAGGAACTAACTGGCAACCACATCCTGAAATCAACTGATTTCAACTGAGAAAGAAGACATTACGCTTCAGCAGAGGAGTATTAAACAACTCCACAAACAGCATCACCAGCTTCACTTATTACTAACCAGACTGACTTTATTTCTGTCAGACTCTTCTGTTCTTCTTCTTAACTCTATTGTATCTTTTGTTTGTTTTTGTTGATGTGACAGTGTGTTTGTCAAACACATTTTAAGTAGAAAAGGAAGATAAAACATATTGATATCAGGTCATGGTTTTGAAATCTTCATGAAATAACCTGATGATTATAAACCCTGTGTTTTTGCAGTATTGTAAGAAAATCTGCTAAAAGAGTTCTAACAAACATATGCACAAAAATTAATTTGATGTCTCACACAAATATCAGCAAATTATCAGCGTATGAATCTCAATAATGGTGACAATCAAAAGTATCTCGCTGCAATGGATGTTGAGTACCAACAAAGTACAAAACTCCCAGCATGCATTGTAGTGTGAATAAATTATGCACTGAATTGTCTCATCATTTTGTTTAATATATATATTTTTAACACATTTAGAAGATTTTTTTGTAATGTTCAGTGTTTATCTGATTATCTGAATATGTTGTTGATTGTCACCATTGTTGGGATTCATACGCTGATTGTTGATATCTGTGTCACCATAAAGTAACTATTTTTGCTCATGTTTGTTAAAATCCTCTAAATGTTTGCTGCAGTGACACAGGGTTTTTAATGTGAATGTATTAATGGAACAACATCATTAATTGTTATATTCAAATGACAGCAGTGAATCAGTCGATTTCATGACGATTATAAAAATATTAACAGGAAACTGTCACCACCTGGTCTCGTTTCACTTAAACTTTCTTTGCTGCTGCAAATGTGACACACACTGCCAGAAGCCAAAAAATATAGTATTATTAGAAACATTATGGTGGTTTTTGTATTTGTTTTAGTAGAGTCAAAGAGCTACATACAGCACCTTTAAGCTGTTATGATTAAATTGTTTTGAAATGCAGTAATATTTATTTAGATATTAAACATCATTGTTACTGTGTAAATAGCTCTGCTTTGATTCTATAACACAGGGAACATTTGAAGAAGCTCCAGTGGGAGTATAAAGTGGACACACTCAAATACATTCAGACAGTGAGGGACTTCTGTGACAAACAACACAAATGGACCCTTGAGAGAGAGAAAGAGCTGAAGATGATGGGAGACATCAAGGACAAAGTCAGTCATAAGTTTGACTATCTAATGTGCTCAAATAATAAGGCCAAGGCATTGAGGGAGTCCCTACAGAATAGTGTAAAATCATGGGTTAAAAGATCAGTATGCTTAATATATAAAATCATAATTTATTGGGCATTTTAGTTGGGAGTTGGCTGTCCCAAACCCCTAAATTTCAACTTGTGAAAATGATATTGAAATGTTTTGTTGTTGATGTTGTTTTTAATGTTCCATTGTTGTTTTAAAACTTTATGTACAACTGTTTTTGGGTGTTATTCCATAAAATTGAGTTTTTGTGCGAGTACTGTTCAACCATGTGCTGGTTATCATAGGCTCAAACGTATCTTAAATTGTCACTACCAAAACAGTTATGACTTAAACATCATCATTGTTTTGGTAGTGACAAAGGGAACACATAACCATTTATATGGGGTAAATTAAACAAAATATTGTTATACAGATCATTAGAATGTTTTAGCAGTGTTTTAGTATGCGAGTTAAAATTCTGTTTTGTTGCTACCAAAAAAAAAAAGGTCTAAAATAAAGTACATTGAATTATCAACTAAGATGTTATTACAGTGTTTGGTTCAATGTATATTCAACCTAATAAATCCTTAACTTTGAAATCAGTATGATTAACTTAATGCTTTTACAAAGAAAGATTAGATTCAAAATACAACAAATCTTATAAATTACACTTGAAACATTGTTAAAATTGTACTTGTAAACAAAATATGAAGAGGTCATTTTAAATGTTTTTTAAATATTCCAAAACTTTATGAAAATACAATATAATAAATTAACTGCACAATTACTAGAAATGTGTACCTTGGATATTATACAATTTATAAAAGATTTGTGGAAAAAGACATTTTCCAACTCTGACTTTGAACCAATTCTGTAGAAAAGCCCAGATAAGGAGCTGGAGAAGGAACTGGGTGCTGTCCTGGAGAACACACTTCAGGGGCTGAAGAAACTTTACGTTTTCCTGGATGCAGTGGAGAAGCTCGCAGTCACTTCACTGTTTGTCTTCACTGGACAGAGCTTCATGTCTGAGGACGAAAGTCCTGAAAGTGTGCGATCAGTCATCATGGCTGCAAGAATGACCTGTCCTCTCCTCATCAACTTTAAACGAAATGCAGAAACCTTCTTCTTTCCTTCACTCAGTAACTTGGCCGTCCTGTCCTTTCAACTAGACAAATACATACGAATCACAAAACAGATTTGTGAGAGAATGGAGGAAAGGTTAGTGCTGACATTCATGCAATGTTCATTTTTAAAGGATGCTATTTTGATCATATGCACGTTATTACACACAGATTATCAAAATAATCTCAGTGGCATTTACTAAATCAATTAAATTGAAGGCTTAGCCCCATAATTTAATCAATAATTAAAAAAAAATTCTACATTTATTTTTCCCCCTCAAAAATCCAAGAGTGATTTGTGGTATAAAGATATTCACAGGTAAGTATTATAAATATTAGGGTAAGACTGGGTTAATTTAAAGGTACAATTTGCAGGAATTTTGCAGTAAAATATCCTACTATTTGTAAATCGTGAGAAAATTGCGATTTTTAACCAAGGAAACGGGGCGTGTGAGCAGGGGTCGCCAGTCAATGATGTCATATCCACGTTACCCCCAGTTTCCGCCAGGTTTGACCTCGTACTACAATAGTAACCATGGCGACAGACGTTGACAATTGGGTCGGTTATGCCCGTTATGCCTAGTAGGAAGCTAATGCTGTTGTTGTTTTGTTTTAAACATTATGGACCATGTCAAGCAGACTTTGAGACAAAAAGAGGACTAAAACGAAGATCAACATCTTTCGAGATGCCGAGAGCTGCACGTCCGCGACTAACTTCGACTTGACAGAGTCGCGTGTGTTGCATGTTACTTTATTAAACAGGTGAATAAATGTAAAGCATGGTGAGCAAACTAATCAATGTTATTTAGTTCAACATTATGAAAAGTTAGAATATGATCTGTATGTTATTCTAGCTTAGTCTCATACAGCCAACACACAACCTAACTAACAACATTCAACACACTCAAATAAGCAAGTGAAGCAGCGCTGCATTACCTGAAGTTTCATTCGTCTAATAAACTCACCTGTGTGAGTAATTCAGTGTGTAGTTCGGTAGAATGAAATGTCCTTATTCCTTTATATCCGCGGGGACTCGCATTGCATGTGGCGCTGGTATACGTCTAGCGTCTAGCCTGCTTCACACCACGGTCATGATAAAAACATTAATATATTCACTCATCCATAAAAGATCCATCAGCTTGACGACATGATCCATAATTCCGCTTAATGCAGAATATACATCATCAATATACGCCTTTGTTATTGTAAGAGGTTAGCGACCCCTGGTGGCGAAACAATCTTGCATATTGTACCTTTAACATCTTCATTATTCATCATAACCTAAAGGCCAACCTAACTTAATAGTTCAATCTGAATTCAAAATTTATTTACTTTTATGACAATCTATAAAATACCTCTCTTAACATATAAGCAAGTCTTTGTTAATCCTGCTGAAACTCTCTACAGATGCATGAAAGCTCAGCCTGTAGTGAAGTTCAGTTTGAACTTAAGCAAGGACTCCATGCAAAAAATGCTTGATCATTTGAAGCAGTTATCCGAAATCAGGTGAGACCTACATTTATGATCTGATGTTTTCCACTCATGCATCTTGAAAGGTGGCTGTAAAGTATATTTCTATTTTTTGTCTAGGATGGACCAGCACACAAGGCTGGCTTTAATTTTTCAGGAATTGAAGGCTCAGGAATTCGTTGGTTTATTCAGTCAGTGTCTGGAGAAACTGGAGAAGCATCTGTCAGATCTGGAAGAGAGTGCAGTTCAGCTGGACAGGATGAAGATGGGGGCCAGTATCTCCACTGTGACTGGCAGTTCGGTTTCGATATTAGCGGGTGGTTTGTCCATTGCTGGTCTTATTCTGGCCCCTTTCACTGCAGGAACGTCACTGGCTCTCACTAAAGCAGGTCTCGGTCTGGGGGTTACCAGCGGGGCCAATAGTTTGGTCACAGGCGCCACTGAACTTGGAGTCAACCTAAGGCATGGGAAAAAAACCCAGGATATTTTCAAACAATATATGAAGGATGTGGAGAAGATTCTGAGCTGTCTGGATCAGGCCAGTAAACAGGAGCAAGTAGAGGGGCAGGGATGGTTTGATATCATCATTACAGCTGGGAAACTGGCAGGTCATGCTGTGTCAGTGGGCAAAGGTATTGATGGTCTGGCAGATGCAGCTTCAGCTGTTAAAATACTCAAAACTGAGGAGGTGATTGCGACTGCAACCAAGGCCGGGCTCCAGGAGGCACAAGGTGCTCGTAACATTCCCAAACTGGCTGCAGACCTTCCCGACATTGGGAAGCTGGCAAAAGGGACCCCACTAGCTCTTTCAAAGTCTGCTAGAGCTGGATTCATCGGTCTAAATGCCCTCTTTATTGGCTTAGATATCTTTTTTATTTTCAATGAGAGTATAAGTCTGGCCAAAGGCAGCAAGTGTGAAGCCTCTCAGCACATCCGCTCACGAGCAGCTTTGTGGAGATCTGAGCTGGAGGACTGGAAGAAGATCCATGATTCCTTACGCATAGGGATAGAGAGGGTCAGGAAGAGTCAGGAAGTGTTGGAGCAACCTTTCCTTCACCAAGAGTCACAGCCACATCATCAGCAATTGCAGTTTTATCCAGTTCAAAATTCCTCTGCCAGTTCATGGTGGCGATAAGGAGCTTGGCCTGATGCTTGTGGAAGCAAGGCTCAGTGATCCCCTGGATTTTGAAGACATCCAAGAACTCAAAGAAAAAAAATACATCTTCATATAATTGCCTGAGGGGTGATGCCCAAATATGACGGCGCTGAGATGAGCAGTCATTTAGACAACAGTTAGACTTGCTGTCTTGAAACATTACTCAGTTTATCACCTTATTTTTTCAAGCTTTCTGGTTTGCTAATTGATAAAACAGGAAAATAAAATAAAATATTTTACTAATGTTTTATTATTTACTTATGTTTTACCATTTGCTTATGCATCACTTAAGTTCCAGATAGATCGACGATGAATGCTTGAATGCCTCAGAATAAAGTGATAAATGAATGTTATGCAACAACTGGACTTATCTTTAGGCAAGAATATTATACTATACTATATAACTTACTTAGATTAGAAGTGATTCTATCTTTTGATCCTGATTATGGATAAATTACTTTCATGCTTCATATTATTTGATTGTCTGTTTGATTGTTATAAGAAACAACATTTGATTTCATCATCTGACTGGATCTCCTCCATGCATCACTGATAATTACTTTTAGTACAATAAGCATTAATTAAATCTGCTTGATTCATTGCACATGGCAAAATAATATTTTGAAAATCATTACATGGTGGAAGTCTATGCTGAAAACTGTATCCTATATACACATGTGTACATCACTGTCAAATCTAATATAACTGATTAAAAAAATACTTGCACTTGTGCGTGTGTCTTATGTGTCATGGTTCAAAAGCCGAATATGTTCATATTTTGAAAAAGTTCTGCATACATTTTAATTGTGGTGAAAGTGTTATTTGCTCTTAGGGTGTGAGAGTCTCAAGTGCGTCAGTTAAATACTGACAAATCAAATGATATTTTAACAGGTTAAATAAAGGTAATTTAATTTATACACAATTTAGTGATCTGTCCCTTTAATAAAAGTTGATAAGAGATGGAAAAATATGAGTAATACAAAAATAAATACATGATTAATTATGCAAATTCATTCTAGACAAAAGCTCGGTGAGCAACCAATGAGATCTCTTTGTCATTTGCGCCATGGGTGTCGACGAGCATGCTCAATGACAGAAGAGACAAGCTTGATTGAGAAAAGCAGATGCAATCTGATTGTTGTGATCCATTTTATAAATCTTAGATTAAAAATCTTTGAAAAAGGAGGTTTGATTAATTTGATGCATTCTGAATAAGAAGCCGACTGAATAGAGGAATACATTCTACCTGTTCATCGACGCCATTTTATGATCATGCCCGCCTGTAGTTGCGCCTGTGGAAGAGCAAAAGAAAAATCGATCACAAAGAGCAGCAGTCACCTTGTACAGCATAATATTTTTAACATTTACAATGTATTGAAAATAATTTCTTAAAAGCTTTTCTTATACAATTTTTTACTTCTCTACAATTTTAAGACAGACATCAATAATTAGCCTGTGAATCTCAACAATGGTGACAATTATAAAGCATGTTGCAGTGCATTCTGGGTGCCACCAATCAAAACTTATTCATGGCTCCCATCATGCATTGCTGCATGAATAAATAATGATCTTATGTTCAGAGGTGATCTGATTGTCACCATTGCTGAGATTAGTATGTTAATTCTTGATGTCTGTGTATGTCTATATAAAATATTTCAGGGATTTGACGATATAAATGACGATCACAAAGAGTTCACCGTCGCCATCGTTGGTCACGTGTCTGTATTAGAGAGAAAGACATTGGTTAAAACACACCTGTTTTTACATTTGAAAAACAATTGAAAAGTAGCGCAGTTCGGAAGGAAAAACATGTTCTTTGTGAACGGCCACTAATTGCACTTAAAAAGCATTTAATTTAACTAAACAGGCTGTGTGACTATGGAATGATCATGACCTCAAAATATGTGTGAGGGACTTTAAATACACACACCTCTTTAACTGATATAACAATGAACTCACACAAAAACTGATTATTTTTGTACCAATGATCTTATTTATTGTAGTGCAAAGAGAACAGTGACAGTGAGATTAAAGTGATTTATTTATGTACCGACCCCATCAGTCCAACACCAACAGCATGACTGAACAATGAAAACACTGTGATAAAACACAAACACAACATCATCTCTGACTGAACATTCAGAGCAACAAAAAACAGTGGAAAACTGCAGAACAAACACACATCTGGAGATCGTACCTCTGAAATGAGGAGCAAACCTCAGTGTTTGGACTGATAAGGGTGAGATCAGTAGTGTTTCTGAACGTACAGTAGTGAAGATCAATAAATACAAGCTACAGGATCCGTCCTTCAGCAGCAGACTTAAAAAACAACCATTATAAAAATGGCAAAGCAGCATCAGTTTTCACATGCAAATGACAACGTGTGCGGGTAGAAAATCCTCCAGCAGTTCATCTCAGATTAGTGTCGTTTCCCGCTCCACATTCACATTTAATCAGACACATAATCAAACTATGATTAAATGAGAATTATTCATATAAAAAGCACTTCATTTGTTCAATGCATTCAAGGCATCCCAGCATTGAGTTTGGTGGTTTGTGACGAGTTGTCACACAGATGATTGACAGCTGTCAGAGGATGAATGATTGAAGGCACTGAGTGTGTTTTAAGTGCATTCACACATGCACCGTCACCCTGATGAACACAGAAAGCTACCGTACAACATTAATAAAACCCTCAAAACATCATTAAAAGAATCAAAACTTTGATCTACTTCAACAAACCGTTCGTTCCTGCAGCCCAATTAACACTAAAATAAGACACAACTACATACTGACGCTCGGGTCAGCTAAAAATAAACAAAACTTGATCTAAAAGATGATAAAATAATCAGCAGGACGATCACAAAGTGCTGAAAGAGAAGTCAGGATTAGGCCACTGCTGCTGTGTGTGTGTGTGTTTATCTGGGCTGCAGACGGGCCAGGCCTCTACGCGCGTGTGTCGACTGTCTCTGCTGGGCCAGGAAGGACTGAGCCGAACCCGAACCGGATCGCTCCCCGGCGACCTTCTGATGAAGAGCCATTCCCTGAGGATCACAGAGACGGACAGCGGCCGGTTAATGACAGGAACAGAGGGATGTGGAGCTCCACAAAATAGAAACGCTATTCACACTTTTTTCGCACATTTCCCACTTTGTTTTGCACAATTCACACTTTTTTTTCACGCAATTCACACTTTGTTTCGCGCATTTCCCACTTTATTTTGCGCAATTCCCACTTTGTTTCCCACTTTGTTTTACGCAATTCAAACTGATTTGCGCAATTCACACTTTGATTTGGCCAATTCACACTTTGTCTCACCCAATTCCCACTTTGTTTCGTACAATTCACTATTTGTATCGCGCAATTCCTACTTTTTTTTCTTGCAATTCCCACTTTGTTTCGCGCAATAGGGGTTATGCACAACATTCTTCCGGGTTCTACAAAACGGGTATAACTACTTCCGGTCGTCAGCTACTGAGGTAAACACAGCGTAGTAATGGCGACATTTATAGTCGGTGTTTACAGGAGCTACCCATTCTATCCATTTCAGATGTACACCAGTCTTGCCAATCGGACGTCCAGAGTCCTGAATACTCAGTTAGACAAAGGGTTTAAGTTTTACGCCTCATTTATTCATGATTATGAAGCTATGTAAGACAGTGTCTTCTTACCCCATAGTTAATTTCCCCCGACACAGAACAGATCGGCACACAACAAAAACTGCTGTTCGGATGTTCTCGTTTCTGATACTACAGAGTTCGTGACATTTTCATTAAAACAGAAATAAGAATTGTATTATAAAAAGGCGAAAATTAAAGGATTAGATCACCTCAAAATGAACATTTCCTGATAATTTACTCACCCCAATGCAATCCGAGATTTTCATGTCTTTCTTTCTTCAATGGAAAAGAAATTATTTTTTTGGAGGAAAATATTTCAGGATTTTTCTCCACTTCATGAGCAACATGTTGAATGCAGTCCAAATGAACGCGCCAGGCATTATGGCATCACCGTGGAAACGTCACGCGTCACGTCATCTATCCAAGTGATCTGTCTGTGTACTCCGGTTCAAAAGGGCAGGAAAGAGCGAAAAATTCCATCTCATTTTCTCACCCAACTTCAAAATCGTCCGACATCTTTGTTTTAATTTAAAATTTGAGATTATATATATTTATTTCGTGACATTTCCAACGTGATGACGTAATACCTGGCGCGTCGCAGACCAGCACAAGACGAACAATTGTGGTTACAAAAAGTATAAATGTTTATTTTTTTAGGATATGGACGATCGTTTCGCTATATAAGACCCCATTCCTCAGCTGGGAGCATGCACAGCCCTTTGAAGCTCTTCAAAACCCTTTTAAACTGCATTGATTTGGACTACAACATGTTGCTTGAAGTATGTGGAGAAAAATCCTTAAACGTTTTCCTCAAAAACATTAAATTTCTTTTCCACCAAAGAAAGAAAGACATGAACATCTTGGATGACATTGGGGTGAGTAAATTATCAGGAAATGTTCATTTTGGGTTAACTAATCCAGTAAGTTACCAAGAGATCATCTAACCACTGCAAACCGGAAATGCTTGCACCCGTTTTCCGGTTCGAACGCTGGGCGCTCGGCATAACCCCTATTCCCTCTTTGTTTCGCGCAATTCCCTCTTTGTTATTATAGTTAACAAAAACGGAAACTTATCAAAAACTAAAAAAAAAAAAACGGTAAATATACAAATTAAAGCCAATGAATAAATACTGGTAACTCTTTACAACAAGGTTTATCATAAGTACTACATTGAAAAATTCTAAAGCATTTCTTATTTAATGTTAATTAGAACTAAAAATGAGCAATTGTTCATGTTAAGACAAATAAATACTGTAAGAAATATATTGCTCAGTGTTAATGTATATTTTTGTAACGCTTACCAATAAGGTCCCATATATCAATGTAGTACTGTAATGTAATGTTAAGTGTAACCAAATATATTATTAAAAGCTATACTAGTATTTAAATAATAGTAAATCACGACAGGACACGAGCTGTTGTGACGGATCTGGAATATTCTCACCATGTTGTACCAGGCCGAGATGATGAGCTTCTCCTCCTGATCATGTCTGGAGCGACTCTTCTCAAAATCATGCTGAACACACACCAGAACAAGACGATCATTACCATAGTTAAACAGAGTCACACACCAATAGTGTGTGAGAGTGTGTGAGTGTGTGTAAGTGAGTGAGTGAGAATGTGTGTGACCTCCATATGTTGTATCCTCCTGTCTTTCTCTGTCAGCTGGTTCTTCAGGGCCTGAACTTCAACAGGAACAGAGTTACTCTTCTTCTTCGGGTCTAGCGTCTTAATCACCTGAAACACACACACACGACATTTACATTGTAATGTGTGTATAAAAATAGTAAAGAGTAAAGATGAGGTCAACTGACCGTGCGAGCTTTGTCCACGTATCTCTTGTATCTCTCCTCCATTCGTCTCATGTCTTCATCCTTCTTCTTCAGAATCTCCTGCAGCTCATCGACCTTCTTCGCCACTGACACACACACACACACACACACACGTTTCCATAAGAACAGTCCTCAAAAACACTCCTTCCCATTCAAAACCACTGCTCGTCTCGTCGTTATATTTTAATGAACTGATGCAAGCGATTCAAACACACTCCTGTCTGGACTCTCACGAACGAATCATCTGTTCATTAACTGATTTGTTCAAATGAATCAATGAACTGCTTCAAATCAAAAGCATTCCCAGAAGTCCCTGCACTGCATTTGACATATTCTTAGAGTGAAATATGCATACAAATGTATCTCTGCTTGCAGATATGTATAAACATATACAGTCAAACCAAAAATTATTCAGACACCAGATATATTTATATATGTTTTTAACTAGCGTGTGCAGGACACTATAGTTCATTTATGTAAGTGAGGAGAGCAAAATAAAGTAAACTGTGACACATTATACACAGTAAAATGTATAAAACATTTCGGACCATCAGAAAATGAGACAAAATCTTCTCGTCATTTTTAATTACCGTTTTCTGAACTATAGTGCATGAACTGTGATAGTGTGATAGAAATGTTGAAGGTGTCTGAATACATTTTGGACTGTATATCTTAGTCCTGTACGAGAGTGTCTATGAGCTGATAATCAGAATGACCTTTGACCTTCGTGTTAACTCACTGTTACTGTCCGCAGGCGGCTCTAGATCATCGATGACCTCTCGCTTCTTCTGCAGGTCAGAGTGAGCCTCGTGGAGCTTCTCTCTGCAGAAAACACACACACATTAAAACACACATTTGATGAGCAGCGCTGCTTCACAAAGATCAGAGACACTCACAGATGCTCCTCCAGCTTCTTCTTTAATAGCGACGACTGTCGGGAAAAAAAAAAAACAAACACGTGAGACAACGGCAGATGATAGTGTGTGTCCATCACAGCACATTTACAACAGTAACAATCAGTGTCCAATCAGAGAGCAGACGGGCAGTACTTACGATGACCTGAGGCGGCGGATGATTGGTCGATTAGGAGAAGTGGGCGGATAAAAACAGACGAGCAGGCGTTAATTTCAGCACCGCAAACAAAACACGTTACAGATTCACACATGAATCAAGCAAACAGAGACCGTGAGGTGTTTTATTACGGGAAACACTGTGAGATGATCAGGTGAGTGATATTACATAAATCACAAGCAGATGGAGATCACTCAGTCAATGCTGTCTGAGGAGATACGCCCCCGAATCCTCCGTTCACCGCACATTTAAAGGGGTCGTCGGATGCAAAATGACCCCTTGATGGTGTTTGCATATAATTGTCTTTGCACACAACCACTGTTTTTAATCCTCAAAAAGCCTAAACACTCAATAATCAAGCAGTTTAGATTTGAGCATTATGACATCATGCTTCGCCCACGACCGCTGACGAACTGTCCCGTATTAGCATATTTCTAGGGCTGGACCCGAATATTTGTTCGGTGGGTTGGTGTTCGATTTTAAAATGTGAGATTCGTTTATTTTTCATTTTTTTGCACACCCGGCACCCCCTCTAAAGGGTTCTCATTCGCACTTGAATATGTTTAACTCTATAAAATCTGGTGAAATATAATACTTTACATATAACTTCGTTATAGCTACTTAATAAATATATTTGCTTCTTGGACTACTGAAAGTGTTCCTGTAACGGGAGTATTCTCTGTCTAGAGTGTGTATGGAGTGTGTATGTTTTGGGTTAAGCTGCTTTGCTTTGATACTGTGGAAAATAGAATAGAAACAAAATGTTATTTTCTTTTTTACCTGTTATTATCAATCTAAATTATTCTACTGCGAAATATAGGGGACTTTGAGATTTTACTGGGATGGCATGTGCCCCAGTTAAAGAAATACGAAATAAAGAAAAACGAAATTTAAATGCATAAAAAAAAATTAAATAAATAAAAACGAAATTTAAATAAAGAAAAACGAAATTTAAATATGGAAAAACTAAATTTAAATATAAAAAAACGAAATTTAAACAAAAACTAAAAATAAATGAACGCTTTATTTAAATTTTGTTTTTCTTTAAAGAAAAACGAAATTTAAATCAAAATAAAATTTAAAGAAAAAATAAAAATAAAAGAACGTTTAGTTTAAATTTCGTTTTTCTTTAAATTTCGTTTTTCTTTAAAGAAAAATAAAATTTAAATTTAAAGAAAAACGAAATTTAAATAAACAAAAACGAAATAAAAAAACAAATTAAATATAGAAAAACGAAATTGAAAAAAAAGTTAAAAACTAAAAATAAATGAACGCTTTATTTAAATTTAGTTTTTCTTTAAAGACATTTATTTTTAGTTTTTCTTTATTTAGATTTTGTTGTCATATATTTAAATTTGAGCAGTTACTCATTATCATTTAAAGAGACATGCACCGAAACAGGTCGCTGTGAACAGAGCTGTCTTTGAGGAGGTAAAAGGGTGTCGTTGTAAACAACCAGTGAGGAATTAACCAAACAACTTTACACAAACACCCTAAAGAATCACACCAGCTTGTGGAAAATGGGCATCCGACGACCCCTTTAACATCCGTGATGAGATGTTGAAGGAAACTGAGTATTTGATAGGAGACAATGGAGGACTTTCATTGGGATTTGACTGGAGGCAGATCGTCCATCAGACAGCAGCCGCATTGTGTGTGTGTGTGGATTTGAACAACTTAATTTAAGTGATTTTAGCTTGAACACAATCATGATGTGAGGAATGAGTTCAGGTATGGACTGTGTGTGTGTGTGTGTGTTACTGACGTCCTCAGTTTTGCTGTCCTGCTCCTGTAAAGCTCTCTGCAGCTCCTCGATCTGAGAAACCAGCTCTGAGATCTGCTGCTGACTCAACCTGACACACACAGACACGCCAAATAATGTACACTAACACTCGAAAGTTCAGATTTATTCTTAAGGATCATGTCTGTCGCGATTATCAACATATCGCACGTCACAAGTCCCATATTTGTGAAAAAAAATTAGTTTGATATCAGATAAAAGCAATATCTTTGTTGTATCCTTAAGGGTTTAAGGAGATTTCCCATGACTGCCGCCAGCGCTGTTCAATGCATCCAATCAGTGCCATTAATCCCATGAAGTGAAACATGCGCTTCAGCATTACCCAGGGGACAACTGAGCCTTGAGCGGCTCATGTGATGTTAAAATCATTTCGACACCTTGTTTAATTCATAACAATCAGCGTTTTTAAGCATATGGTTTAAAGATGACTTGCTCATAAAGACTAGCATACTCGATCCTGATCTCTCACACACACACACACACACACACACACCTGTTTTGAGTCTCCAGTGTGTTCTGGCAGCGCTGTGACTCCTCCAGCTGAGTCTGCAGCTCCTCCAGTCGGTGTCTGTACGACTCCTCCTGAACACACAGCATCTTATTCTCCTGCTGCAGACGCACAACCGTATCCCTGACACACACACACACACCTTCATATGCATGAGGAGGAAACAATCAGCAAACAAGCTGCACACTGGATTTAGAGTTTAATGAAAAATATCTTCATGTTCAAACTGGCCCAACAGACACTGATTGAACATGTTCAGTCAGGTGAAAACTTAATTATTATAATCATGTAATTCATAAATCAGTGGCATTTGTCTGGATATTAATATGGATCCAAAAAGGAACATTTTAGACTGAATATTAGTGATGAAACCGATGAAAGTTTTCATTTAGCTGGAAAAAATCCCATTTCATATATATATATACATGTATACAAGTATGAAAACCCTCATATATTTATATAGTATAATTATTAAAATCATAGCATTTAACTAAATAATTTAGCTCAAAAATATAACAGTTAAAATTCAACAGTTATTAGTTATTTAATTAACAATAACAATAAAATAAATTAGTTAAAAGTAAACTTTAAATGAAATGTATATAAAAAAATATTTTTAAAATATTAACTATTTTTAGCCAAAGCAACATTTCTCATTGCCCTTTAATTTTATTTGATAAAGTAAAACTAAAATTGAAATAAATTCATAAAAACTTGAAACAAACTAACTTGAAAGTGAAAATATGAAAATTAATTATAATAAATTATAATATACTACAATAGTAGCTTAATGATATTAAGGTAAATAATGTTTTATATATTTAAAATATAAAATTATTAATATACAATTTTCTACTTAAATTTAAAAAAAAAATATATATATATGTGGCATTTCTTGCAAAAAATGATTAGTAAATAAGTTTTATTTTAACGTTAGCACAACAGTGTTTCTGATGTGTTAAAAGTGGCTAGCGCTCACCTGAACTCTGTTGGCATGATTTCTGACGCCAAGCTGCCAAACGCTCCTGAATCTCCACTCAGAGAATCTACACACACACAGAGGCAGGGACAGAGCTGATTGGATGACAAAGTGATAGAGGGGGCGGGGCTTCTGCTGGTACATGTTATCAGGTTATGATGGTGTATGTGTGTGAGTGAATGTGTGTAAGAGAGAGAGGAGAGAGAGAGTGTGACCTGTTAAACACTGCTGCTGCACTTGAGCACATCTCAGCTCTTCAGTCGTGTCTCTCAGCGTGTCTCGCTCACATATCAGCTTCTACATCACACACACAGCGTTACTGTAAGAGTCATTTTCACACACACACAGAGTGAATGTCATCAGATGCGAGGGATCAGTCCTGTACCTCTCTCTCCTTCAGAAGCGTCTCGTATTTTTCGTTGAGGTTCTTGTACTCGAACTGCCACTTCTCTGCTTTCATGGCCTCGGCCGAGTGTTTGGCGCTCATCTCGTGAGCCTGACGAAAGCAAACACACTCATTCCTTCATCTGTCCAGCTGTTTCCTGAACTCTCGTACATATCAGCATGTTCAAGAAATTACAGCGGCTGTTGCATTTCTATCGTACCGAAGTGACCAAATATTAAAGACTAAGTAGACATTTGAATTAAATGTTGTTTGGCCAAAATTACACAATGATTTGATCATGTCGGCGTAGTGCAACAAAAAAGCATCACTAGGCCTCTGGCGCCCTCTGTAGGCATTCGTTATAATATGTTATGTACATAAGTTATGATAATATTATTTATTTTACATGGTTTATTTCAACAAAACCCATTTGATTACTTACATCAATACTTTATTTGAACTAATTATTATTGCTTGTTATTATATATTTGTATTTTTTTATACATTTATTTATCAACTTTTTCAAAGCATTAACAGAAAGCATTAACATAAAGCAGATACAATCAAAGTTAAAGTTTTTCCCCCACAATAACCCATTCCGCCAAAATAAATAACAATATATTACATACAAGTCAAAACAAAAATATCAATAATAATCCCCCCCCCCCAAAAAATTACAAAATATAAAAAATAAATAAATAAATATATTTGTATATATTTTTATATACAAATATATATAGTCATATATATAGTCTACTATATATAGTCAAGTCACCATTTATATAGCGCTTTAACAATATAGATTGTTTCAAAGCAGCTTTTAATTTAATAATAGGAAATTACAGTAACAGAAATTGTTTTGGCTTTACAGCAACTCTAGAATAGTTATTTTCCAGCTAAAGTTAGTTTTGATTTATTCACTTGCGTTGCACTTTTAAAGGCTGTTGTTCAATTGGTGCTTCTTTTTAAATACCACAATCCAAGTACTCGATTAATCGATGGAATAATACACAATGGTGTATGAATATGTATCTTTCAGTACCATGGTATATATTTAAATGATCTCTTTTCTATGGTAGTACGAGTTTATGTATGTTTGTTTTCCACACTTTCATAGCATTTATTTACTTTGCATAGTTGCAGTTGTAATAATTTTTTTTTTTACATTTTTATGTGCGCGTTCGTTAAGTCCATGAGACCTTAGGGTGACAAGTTTACAGTTTCTGTCCAGGTTAGGCTTACAAGCTATTCTATTCACCTATCAATTTCCCTCTGATTTTAGGGGTAAGTTATGGGTAAGACTATATTTTCGATGGAATAATCGGTTGAATACTCGATTCCTAAAATAATCGACAGCTGCAGCCCCACCAGTGTCCATGTGAGAGCGTGTTAGGCCCGTCTGCTCACCTGTCTCTTGTAGGAGTCGAGCTGCGAGCGGATGGTGTTGGCCCTGCGCTGCTCCTCCTCCAGCTCGCAGGTGCGCTGCATGTACACGTGGTTCCTCTCCTCCAGGAGGCGCACCTGTCGCCGCAGATCCCCCAGATCCTCCAGCTTGCGCTTGTACGTGTCCACCATCGCCTCCAGGCGGCTCACGCGGTCAGACGAGTGCCTGAAGCACAAACACGAGCCATCAACGGCTGAAGGAAGAATCACTCTGCAATCCAGTGTCAGGCAAGTGTGTTTTGCTAGTTTCAGCCCGACGCAATTATCATTTTCACGTCCTGCACCACGTTGTTTAAATAGCAGATGCATTTGTGCCGTTGGGCATCAGCTGGTCTGAAAACAAGGTGTGTTCAGGCGCATTGCTATTTTGAGGCAATAGACTGGATTATACTGTGTTTTGGGCTTACTACTAATTACTAGGGTTGGGTATCGTTTGAATTTGAACGATTCTGATTCCGATTCCTTGTTTCGATTCCGGTTCCTAACGATTCTCGATTCCGATTCTTTTAAGAGGCGGGGTCAAAAAAGTTTAGCTAACCATGCTAACCAACGGTCTTTCTGAAGGAAATACTCCTTCTGTCACAAATACTCCTTTTGTCACAAATTTTGCATTTTGCCGAGATTTCGTTATTTTTAGAAAAGTGAAGTCACACTTTGGAGCGCTGACGTAAGCTACTCATGTTCGACTCGCGCAGTTATGCCAACACTTCCAGTAGACGCTTCTTCGTTGGTGTTGTTCAGCGGTTTCTTCTTCCGCTCGGCGGACTGTGAATATCGAAACTAGGAATCGAAATTTTAACTTTTGAACGATTCCGGGAAAAACAAAAAGTTAGTCCCGGTTCCAATCGATACTCGATTCTCGATACCCAACCCTACTAATTACTAACACGCTCTTTAAATACCAAAAAAAATAATAAAAATAACGTCATTGACTTCAGACTAGGTTTCAATTGGTCAATAGCGCAATACTGTTTTTGGTATTTAAAGAGCACGTTAATGATAAATTTTGTCGCTCGCTTTAATCTCGTTTCCTCACTAGATAAAAGTTCAGTTTTTACGCTTGTAAATTCCTCCATGCAAATAGCGAATCAGCCAACTGGCTTTTAAAAGGAATGGGCAGTAGCAACTCATTGCAGTACACAAGATCCAGGGGGCGGAGTCAGATCCAGATCTGAGGGGTGGAGTTGGGTAGGTTTAGGTATATGTAAGGTGGGAGGAGTTGGATCTGGATCCGACTCCTCCCCGTGGATTTCATGTTCTGCAGTGAGGACCATCTCGGAATGGGAGATGAGACTCTGATTGGTTTATTGAACATTACGCTCAAAACACACCCACTTCCATCGTTAAACTAGCAAAGGTGGATTCGGACTCGCCCTGAGTGCACTTGCTTTAGGCCATGTGCTTAGATGGTTAAAATAGGGCCCTTCGTGTCTCCGCCTCTGACCTGAGGATGTCCATCTCGTCTTTGAGGGACTGGGCCTCCTGAGCGAGGCTGGTGAGCTCCTCATTCCTCAGCTGCAGATCCGTCACCTCTCGCTCCAGAACGTCTGCTCGCACGCGCTGGTCATCTCGACTGCTCTCCAGCCTGAACACACACACAACCACACACACACACACGAGTCAGCCTCTCGGCCTGGGCACAAATCATATGTAATAATTATGACGAATTGTCATTGTACTGTATATTTACATTTAATCATTTAGCAGACGCTTTTATCCAAGTCTTTCCCAGTTTAATCTAACGCAGTATATATACAATATTTTTATAGATATAGATATATAAAAGAAAGTGTTCGTATTAATGGATCACATGTTTTTACATTTAACATCTCATAATCGCTGATGCTTATATGATATCGAGGCTGAAAGAGCAAAAGGACTCAGCAGTCTCTGCATTCACATTGGATCCGGATTTGAAAGTGGATTGAGATCTCATTCCGGTCCGTTTTAGTGGTGATAAAACGAGCCATATGAATTAATTTAATTTTCACATTCACACAATGTTAAAAATGTCCTACTTTTTTACACAGCACGGTAAAAAAGCCATATAGAAATATATTATTTAAATTAAAGAATTAATATCATAATATTAATAATAATATTTATAATTATTATAATTTCTGATTCATTTTAATTTCATAACGCTTAAACACTTAATACCTTATTATTAATATATTATTAAATAAACAATGCTGTAATATTTTAGTTAATTTGTTATTATATAGAAATGTAATATTTTAATTGTATGACGTAATTAATGATTAACTATGAAAACATTTATATATAATAAACAATGGAAACAACATACCATATGATTACTAAAATATTTCATATAATATAGTTTATAGTTAATTGTTCAATATATTACATAGAAATAGACTATTGTATTTGTATGAATGGATATTGTATAAATAAAGAATAATAGTACAATTTATTTATTTTTATAAACAGTTTATAATTTACAAATATAAAATTAAATGAAATAATTAAAAATACTGTATGATTATATAAATATTATAAAACATCAATCAATTATTACTTTCAAAAACGATATTAAAAGAAGTCATAAAAAATAATAATTGATTAATGACATTTTGTGTAACGAATGTTTTTTTTTTCAAATTATATAAATAAAACAAATAATAACTGATATGTGAAAAGATATTGATATTGTGAAAAGCGCTATATAAATATATTTGACTTGACTTGACTTGATATGGAATAATGACAATAATAATAATGATTAATTATAATTAATGACACGTTATTTGTCTACATGATTAATCTAGCAGGAACAAATAATTTTATATTATAAATAATAAAAACAACAATGAAAATAATAATTAACATGAATAATAATTGTGATTAATTATGAATGATTAATGATTTTAATAATGCCACGTTATTTCTCTACATAACTAATCTTGCACAATAGAATCATTTCAATCTTGAAATTTGTATTTTCACATGAAAAGTTATGTTCTGTAAGCTTCTCATGGTTCGGACCGTAACTCTGAGTCAGATGTGGAGGATCAGTGTGAAGTGAGCCCTGTGGCGGAGCTACTGAGCCCCGTGGCGGAGCTGCGCGAGGGGCCTCACACCTGTAGTTCTCCTCCTGCAGCTGCTCCATCTGACTCTGCAGCAGCAGAAGCTTCTTGTTGGTGATGGTGGAGGAGACGTCGGTCGGCTCACAGTGGGTCAGACGCTCCCGCAGAGACTGGACCTCCAGCTGCAGAGAGGTCTTCTCCTCCGTCAGAATCGATAGCTGAAACACACACACACACCTCAGTTTTTACCTCAGACACGGTTTCTTGAGCACATTTACCAGAGTTTAGTTCAGGTCACCTGTTGCTGCAGCTCTCGGCAGCGCTGGGACGTGTCGTCGGTCTCTTCACTCAGAAAATAATACTTCCTGGACTGTGGAAGCGGGAAACAGCAGAGGAGAGTGAGATAACGAGGAAAACACAAGCCTTTTCGATCCCTAACACACACACACACTCACCTGACTGTCGAAGTCCCCGTACGACTCTGGAGTTGCTGGCTGCACAGGCTCTTTGGTGAGCAGCTGAAAGACACACACAGTATCGAGTCACACTCGACGGTCACATGTTACTGTTTAGATATACAAATGTTCTCTTCTCCCAGAAGGCCGAGTTTCACAGAGATAAATGAAGAGACTGTATTCATCATCACTGTGGAATGAGGAAAACCAGCCTGAGGGACGACGTTTCAGAAAAAACACACACACAGTGATGCCACTTTCTGCATTATATGAGACATCCATCAGAAATTATTACTTAATTGGCTTCTGGGTATATCAGTTCATAGAAATACAATTTTATTTTTGATATCATATAGTTATAAAATTATAGTATTACATTTATGCATTATTACATTAATAAATGTTACAATGTTCTATTATTTCTATATTATATCAAATGAAATTCATTGAAATAAATCATATTCTACATCATATTATAAATCAAATTTATCGTAATCATAAATAATTACTATTTCATTGGCTATATCCAAATTCAAACAAACATATTATTATATTATATATTTAATCATATTAAAGATAGCGTTTTTAATATATTAATAATATTATATGAATAATATTTCTATATTATGTTATAAACCAAATTAATCGCAATGTATAAATAATTTTATTGGCTTCTGGCTATATAAATTCATACAAACACAATATTATAGTTCAATATCATGCATAGTAGTTTATAATTATTGTATTATATTTATGTAATATTACATTAATCATGTAAATGTTAAACATGAATATTATTTCTATACTATCATAAATTAGCTTCATTCCAATTCATCATAAATAATTACTTAAAGGTATAGCGGAGGATCTTTCCGAATTTTAGAGAAGACCCGCCCTCTCCAATTTTTTAAAAAAATGCACAAACATGGACAAACACAACACTCTTGCTCCCGACGAGAGGGAACGCCTATTACGCCTTACACAATTATGTTGCAAATAAACTAATTCAAAAACATTCTTAAAAAAGACAACATGTCAAATGCCCTTCCGTGTTTTATTTACTTATTATACTGATCGATTGAGTGACCGAGGACTCAAGACGAAGAAGGTATGTGCAACCCTGTATCACACGAAATACGTTCTGAGGAAACTATTTTGCAAATCGCAATTACGTTACATGGCAACATATAAGCAGTGCTATTACGTTGGTCCTTAACCTAATATGTCTCATTGTTAATAATAATTTATATATTTATAATATTTCAGCGTGATAACATTTACCATTTGGTCAAAAGGCTACTTTAGACTAATTGAGATGTTTACCGTGTCTATGCGGTGCATGACTTGTGCCAGGGCTAGCATTGCTAAGTAGCTTGCATGAACTTTTACTAATGATTTTAAATGGATTTCTCCAAATAGCATGACAAACTTTACCTGTCTAGTAGAATCTTCGTGACTGCGGCATCAGTGAGAAGCCCAACCTGTGCTTTTAGCGCACGCCAGCGTGTGATATTCACCCAAAATCACTCTGGTCTTGTTTCTATATTCTGCGGCCTTTCTCTTCTTATCATACACTTCGTATACATTTTTTCTCTTTCGACCCTCAGCCATTTTGAAATGAATGGCTGAAACCGTAACTCTGACATAATACACCTGAAAGTGAAAACTACATAGGGATGAGCACGTACGACGGCCTTACGTAAACATATCACCAGAATGATTGACAGTTAGGTGGACCAATAGTATAGACTACCCACCCGGAAAAAGAAAATCCCCCGCTATACCTTTAAATGGCTATATTCATAAATATATATCCAAATTCATAAAAATACATTCTTATTTTCTATTTAATACTATATAAATAACCATATTATTGCATTATGTTTATTTAATATATTAAAAATATGATATGAAAACTATTTCTATTTTATGTTACAAAGCAATTTATCATAATTATTATTTTATTGACTTCTGGCTATATCATTTCATACAAATACAATCTTATATTTCTATATAATATAATACTTTATTAAATATAATCAAATTAAAAAATTATGTTTATGTAATTACATTAATTTTATATAAATATTATTTCTATATTAGTTCATGAATTAAATTAATTGTAATTAATCATAAATAATAATCTACACTATACAAGAAAATGAAACAACAAAATAATTATTACTTTATTGGCTTCTAGCTCAATATATTCATACAAATATAATACAGTATATTCTATAGAACCCTACATAATTAACTTATAGTATTAAGTGTATGTAATATATTAATAATATGATAAGAAAACTTTCTATAATATGTTTTTAACTAAATTAATCGAGATTTATCCAAATTATTACTTAATTTGGCTTCTGGCTATATAATTTCATACAACTACAATATGATATATAACATTACATAAATAGAATAATATGATATAATAATATTTAAAGTATTTTAATATTAAATTTTCATGTAAAAACAGGTATTTCTTCTTCTGGACAAAACTTTGGCATGAATGAGGGCTCAAATTGTGCTTAGACTTGATAAAGATAAAGCCATAGACTTAATAAAGAATGAGTTAGTCCTGAGGGCCAACCAGACGAATCGCAAACGTGTATTTTAAAGCAGTCCGCTTTTAAGGGAATGATTAGAATTAATGATCCAAAATGATTATGAATTAAGAAATAGTTCAGTCTGGGTTTGTGTCGAACATATTTTCACACCAGAAAACCCAATTACGGTCTTTAATGCTACTAGCTAGCTAGCTGAGATACGATAGCATTAGCAAAAACTCCCTCAGATTCTCAGCTGTCACTGAAGTGTTTAACATGTTTCTGCATTATCAGTAAAATAATGAATACCTGAACAGTGTTATTTTGAGTGGGATGAGTCCCGTTGTATCAGTTTTATTGTGAGCACAGAGACCGAATACCTCTTGTATTGCCGTCATCACCACGTGCTGCACTGACTCCTCCAGCGTCATGATCTGCTGAATGTGCTCTGTGAACACAATCACAGCAGAGGGATGACATCTGTCACAATAATAAATGACATTTCACAGCTTCATTTTGTTCATTAATTCACATACACCTTATGAAGTCATGCATCCACATTCAACCAGGAAATATACATCGAATATTGAGGTTCAGTAAACAACAACTGGGATAGAATGACATGAATCCTATTTAAATATGAAATTATTAGGGATGCACCAATATCAACATTTTGGCTGATACCGATAATTCTTTACACACACAACTTGCCGATACCGATAATTCTTTTTACACACACAACTTGCCGATACGATAATTCTTTATACACACACAACTTGCCGATACGATAATTCTTTATACAAGCACAACTTGCCAATACAGATAATTCTTCATACACACACAACTTGCCGATACCGATAATTCTTCATACACACACAACTTGCCGATACGATAATTCTTTATACAAGCACAACTTGCCGATACCGATAATTCTTCATACACACACAACTTGCCGATACCGATAATTCTTCGTACAAGCACAACTTGCCGATACCTATAATTCTTTATACACACACAACTTGCCGATACCGATAATTCTTTACACACACAACTTGCCGATACCGATAATTCTTTATACAAGCCCAACTTGCCGATACCGATAATTCTTTATACAAGCACAACTTGCCGATACCGATAATTCTTTATACAAGCACAACTTGCCGATACCGATAATTCTTTATACACACAACTTGCCAATACGATAATTCTTTACACACACAACTTGCCGATACCGATAATTCTTTATACACGCACAACTTGCCGATACCGATAATTCTTTATACAAGCACAACTTGCCGATACCGATAATTCTTTATACACACACACACAATTTGCCGATACCGATAATTCTTTATACACACACAACTTGCCGATACCGATAATTCTTTATACACACACAACTTGCCAATACCGATAATTCTTTATACACACACAACTTGCTGGTACCGATAAGTTTTATACACACAACTTGCCGATACTGATAATTCTTTAAACACACACAACTTGCCGATACCGATAATTCTTTAAACACACACAACTTACCGATAATTCTTTATACACGCACAACTTGCAGATACCGATAATTCCTTATACACACACATTTGTGTAGTGTGGGTTTAGGGCTGATCAGCTCTGAATGACAGCATAGTCCTCTCAGCGCTCCAGCAATGGAACCAACCCGGAAAAACCATCGGTGTGGATTTATGCCGATAACGATAGTTCCACCAATCAACTATCGGTACCGATATATCGGTTGACCTCAAATCGTGTATCACTAGAAATTATTTAAATATATATGTGTTCTACTTGGTCTAGGTCTACTTTCCATACTGTTTAGACAACCTAGTTCAATTGAATATTATAGAAGGTATATTCATACATAATACAAATGAAATTTAAAATGCTTAAAAAAAATAAAAATCAAATAATAAATCAAAACAAATGCTCAATGATAAATCAAATGGTCAAATTATTGAATAATAAATCAAACTCTCAAAATGGCTGCACAAATGATAAATCAACTGCTCAAATGCAATTTTATTTATGAACTGTATCAAATGCTCAAATCATAAATCAAATGGAAAAAGTATAAATCAAATGCTCAAACGGTAGCCGGAAACTGCAAATGATAATTCAAATGCAAACGAGGAATGTCAATCAAGTTGTGTGGGCGGAGCTTTGATATGGATTGTGCTCGTCTGTCTCTGAGCCTCCGTTCGCACCGTCAGTGGGCTTTTGCTTTAATCTCCTCTCAGTTTGTGTTCTCAGTGAAGGTCACATGACTGATCACATGACTCTGTGTGAGTGTACCTTGTTTGTGATCGCAGCTGACGGCGCAGCCCAGAACCAGCTGCAGCAACCGGCCCAGTTCAGTCACGTCCCCCATCTCACCAATCAGACACACATCTGGGATGTGCTCTTCTGACACTTGCTGACTCAACACCTGACACACACACACGTTACTAGCTAATAACAGTTTATTTAATATAACTCTATTAGAGGTTGAATTGAACACATTGTAAAAAACATAAAAAGGAAGAACAGTTATTGAGACCCATATGTAAATGTGCGTGTGAGAAAGTGAGTGTGTGTGTGTATTTGTTGGAGTTTGTGTGTCTGTCTGTGTGTGTGTGAGTGAGTGTGTGTGTGTCTGTGTGATTGTGTGTGTGTGTGTGTGTGTGTAAAGTCTCAAATGAAAGATGATTTAACACAGACTTGAATCCCACATAAAGACTCACGTCATGATAATACTCCATCATGCTCTGAAGAATCTTCTTGAGGTTGCTGACCTGTTGAGCACACACACACACATTCACTAAGACACAGAAACACACTGTATATACTGTCTGAGCAGAGTAGGGATGGGACGGTATGAAAATTTCATATCACGATTATAGTGTCCAAAATAATCGTGATTATCAATATTATCACGGTTTTGTTAAAAATGTATGAAAGTGCTCAAAAAGAACTGATGCTCACACCGAAAACATTTCAACAAGTTTTATCAATCCCGTCGTCAATAGCAACGCATTTACACAGCGCACATCCATAACATTCACAACGGATGCGCGCTCTCGTTTCATTCAAATACAACTTGCCGTCTTGCGTCTCCGGTTTTTGATTGTAGTGCAAAAATGAAATCAGAGTTGATTTATTGTTTACAGAGTTTGATAATATTGGTGTGATATATCTCGTCTGGACGATTGTTTTACTAAATGAATTCATAAACAGGTAAGATTTAAAACATTAGCTTATCTCATTATCAATTCAATATGTCCCCGTAATTGTGGTAAAAATAAATTTTTACACGGTTTAATACGTGATGCATCTATACTTTACTATCCCTTAAAATATCACTCTTAGTCTTGTTTGAAGTTGTTCGTTCGTCTTTGGCTCAAATCCACTTGCTACAAACTTTTCTTCGCGGAAGCTTGACGTCTATTTCAAGTGAGTGACATAAAATGTTTCAACTCAAAACAACATTTCGTGCCCAATTGTTTCCCAGACGTAGTTTTGGTATTAAGGTCAAAGTTAACTTGCTTGCCTTGCGTTCGGGTGATGATCACACAAGACGACTCGGCAGATTTGAAGTGTTTCTATTGCAGTGACTTTTTGTTCGGCAGACAAGGTGACCATCCTCGATCAAGTTTCCCTCAGGACTTTTGTAAAACCCAAAAATATGACCACACCTCAGATTTGGTCCTCTTAAAAGGCTGAAAAATCTCCTGAGCACAGTCACTGCCTTCCGCCATTCCTTCTCGAATAGTAATTTTAAAAAAATATTGCGTGCTGCGCACCTGCGTCAGACTGGCCGACAGGATTCAGTGAGTTATTAAAATCGCGATAATCAAACACGGTTTTAATGATAATTAAATTTTAAACGATAATACTAACCGTCAGTACATTTTATCACGGTTTATAGTGAAACCGGTTATCGTCCCATCCCTAGAGCAGAGACACAGAGAGTACAACACCTTCAGCCTCCAGTTTGTGCCGTCCTCCTCTTTTATCCTGCTGAGCCACGTTTCATTAAACCAGGACGGGTCTCTGAGCAAAAACAGAAAAACACACACAGATCAGATTTACACCAGCATGAGGAATGACTTAAATATCGTGTTTTAGTCTTTTTTTCTGACTTAACATAGTGTTCTTGAATGGGTGAAAATGACAATTAATTAACATGAAGACATGAGCAGCTGTCATATTTGACATTGTCAGATGCGCATGTGTGTGTGTTGGTGGATTAACAGTGTATCGGACGTCCGGCGCATCTGTCAGATCGGCTTTCAGAGGAATAGTTGACGTTCCATCACAAATATTTCCAGAAAGTCACACCCTCACATTTTGTTGAGCACATGTGCGATGGCCACTCCACTGGTCAGCTCATGTTTGCTTGCACAGGACGGCACCTGAAACGTCTGCAGCTGAAACACACACACAGTCAGGACAGAAATTAGACATGGACACAAACACTAGACAGAATTTAAAACTGGTCTTGTTTAGAGTCTATATCTCATATATATATATATATATATATATATATATATTATATATACATACACACATAAACTTATATATATATATATATATACACACACACACACACACACACACATATATATATATATATATATAATTATAAGAATAAAACGAATAAATACATTAAAATGAAGAAATAATAAAAATAGATGAAAAAAAACAAATTGAATAAAATGAAATGTAATAAAATTTATTAAACGATAAAGATTTATTAAAATATACAAATAAATAATACATGGCACAACACTATAGTAAGTACTAGAAACTGAATATTTTCTAAATAGAATTGTACATATTTATTTTCACCTTTTTAAATAGGGTCTTAATATATTACAAATATTTAGATGAGTGTTCATCACATCACATGTTTGAAAAACTCTGGAAAACCGGTTGAAGAATCACATTTCTGAAATGTTAATGTCTACTTTTTTGATTTATTGGACAGTTAAAGTAATAATAGCAGGGTCTAAGGAGATATGTGGGTCAAATGAACATATAAAATACTTTGAATAAATTTTAATTTGACGAGGATATATTGATTTAATCAGAGGTTATCGTAGGTCCAAGGTGTTTTGAACTCTTATAATCTGCTCCAAACTCGTTTTAAGACCTTTGATCAGTTACATAATGAGTTTAACACACACCGTATCAAGCGCTAATAAACCAGCCTGACTGATTTTACGAGTGTATAATAATCCACAGAAAACAGCGATTCATAGAATGAACTTTATATGCTAGTCTGAGCAGATTCCACCTGCTGCTAACAGGCTAGCGCGCTACACACAAACAAACTACTTCATTCTCATTTAACACAGACAAACACACTCTAAATACAACAGTAAGTGAAAGGAATGGGTTTATACCTTACCCAGATAAATAATGAATCACTCAGTTGATGTTTATTCAGGCTCATGGTGGCGGTTTGTGCTGTTAAAAACACATACACAAACACACTAGCAGCGCTGCTAAATGCGCGCACACGAACTGGACGCGTCACTCAAACTTGCGCCGCGAGAACGCAAGTAGGCGCCGTCGCCATAGCAACAGACCGACGCGCGCCCTAGACACGTTAAACGTCTTGATGACAGCGATTCTTATTAAATGTAATTGATTAAATTACATAAATGAACACTTAATGAGTCGCCCAGTTATGTTTTTTATAAAAGTTAAACACTAAACGGTGTTTAGTAAACATTACCACTCCTGTTGAACAATTCCGCCCATGGTTCCGCCCATAGATATCATTCCACCGTGTGACCACTAGATGGCGCGAGCTAATAGCCAAAGTGACCAAATTTAGTCTTATTATTTATTTATTTTAATTATATGTGGGGAAAACTAGCGTCATCTTAATTAATATTAACCATTTCTATTGCAGTGAATAATAATAATAAATCGTCATCATGCTCTCAAATCGTGTCTAGGCTCCAGGTGAGTCTGGCACAAATGTGATATATATATATATATATATATATATATATATATATATATATATATATATATATATATATATATATATATATATATAGAAGATTTCCCTCACATATCCATCCCGTATAAATGTGGAAAAACGGCTCTTGACAAAGTTACTGGAACTATATCTAGGACACATATCAACATATTTCATCGTGACAGTCGAGCATTAAGCTCCCTATAATCAAACACATATCTCCTTTCTCAGATGGTTCAGATCTCTCGCATACTTTCTGCTTTGTCGCCCATCTGCCTCACGAACACACACACACGTGTGGGTACTACGTCACTTCCTGCTCCTCCCATCCGGAACTGTCAATCATCTGGTTGCCCAACACCTCTCACTGCTGTAACTGTGCAATGTGTAACTTCCTTTCCTCTGTTTTCCTGTGTCTATCGGCTACTATAATATAAGTAATGTATCAAAAATAATCTTTTATTATTATTATTATTTTGGAGCTGCTCTGATCCAGACAGGAATCCCTTCACGTCGGACACCGGAGGAAACAGGGTCACTAGTTTACACAGTCTCTGGTTCTGGTTAGTCATCCTCCAGGGGTTCATGACTAACACTCTGGCAAAACACTGGAAGGGGATTTTTCACAAGAGCCGGCTATTTTCATCCAGGAACCTTCCTCTTCTCTGCTCTCCGTCCAGATGTGCTTCCTAAAACTGTTTCCGTAAAATAACTGTGACACACACACACTGTTTATTTTCTCCCTCTTGCTCTCTTCTCATTGTCCAGTTTACACATTTTATTTCCAAAGCAACAATACACAAGCATATATTATGACAGTGGGGGGGATATTAATAACATCTAACATAAAAATTTGTTTATATAACATGTATATGTTTATGTAATATATATATATATATATATATGAAGAGTTCAGATGCAAAAGCCTCTAAATGCCATTTGAAATTTTCATCTTTAATGATGATTTTTATCAAACTTGTATATTTAAGTTCAGTAATTTCACTTAAATAACAATTAATAGGTAATTATCATTGCCATTTAAGTGAAATCACTGAACTTAAATATACAAGTTTGATAAAAATCATCATTAAAGAAGAAAATTTCAAATGGCATTTAGAGGCTTTTGCACCTGAACTCTTCATATATACAGTATATGTATGTATGTATGTATGTATACTTGTATGTATGTATGTTTATAATATACACAAGTATACATACATATATACATACAATATTTTAAATAATAGCATACTGAATCGTCACAGCACAAACTCTCCTCAACAACACACGATTTGAAGAGTCGTTCATCCGTGTTTGAAGCACAAACGCTGCAGGATAGACGATAATGAACAATAAAATGAATTAACAGCCCACTTCATTCAGAGGGGTCTCTGCAGACTTCAGATGCTGGTGACGTTTGCAGTCTCTAATTTAAGGTTACACACCCACATCTGACGTCAGAGCAGACTAAACAACAGACTCTTAAATCCACTAAAAACCTCACAGAAACAGCACTGGTCCAGAATGAATGCATGATGGGTTTGTGTGTGTGTGTGTTTAAGACAGGAATGTGGGCAGCTCTGAATGACTGGCAGGAGGATGATCCAGGTGCAGAAACACAGGAAAAACAACACGGGTGTGCTGAACCCAGGAAAGCAGCGGGCAGGGCAGGGCAGGTGTGTGTGTGTGAGCCGGGTGAAGCACTTTCAGCTGGGTTTACAAACCCACAAATCCAGACATGAGCTCACGAGGGCAGGGCGACACGACAGGTTTGTGTGTGAGTGAGAGAGAGAGAGAGAGAGAGAGAGAGAGAGAGAGAGTACTAACATTTTAAAAAATGGGATGAAACATCAGTAGAGAAACTACAATTGGAAATTATAGTATATAATATTAATATTTTTACAATAAAAATATTTTAGGGCTTCACCGAAACAAATTCACTGCCGCCTGCAGGGCTGAGTTAGTGTGTTAGGCCTGTGTGTGTGTGTGTGTGTGTGAGCCTGCAGGGCTGAGTTAGGCCTGTACCTGCTGAACATCGAGATTCAGTTCTGGCATCACCTCCATCAGTCTGATCCAGAGTCAGTCCAATATCAAGCCCTCCTCGCCAATGAAAGCTCAGCAGAAGCTCATCCTCTACACACACTCGCTCTTCAACTCACTCCCCACTGACCACTGCTATACAGCCCCACAACTATTGTTAAAGAGATCCACACACACCTAAAAGACAGCCATGATAAATCACTAAAAGCACATTTTGACCTCCTAAATAAACTCCAATGTCACTCGACCCTCAATCGAATGACTAAATTGGCCAGTTATCTATGTCCAAACACAGATTAAGTGACCGTGATCTAGAGATAGAGAGGGGAAGATGTGGACAAACATGGACAGAGAGAGAGCAGAGGAGTGTGAGTGGATTAGCCTTTATTGTCTCCTGCTGGAGAAATTCATCTTTGGCATTCGAGACACAGATGCAACACATTATACATAACATTATACATAACACATAACACACAAACCTGATTTACATAAATTCACCAATTATATTAATGTTAAAAATTAACGTCACACCCGACATGATTTACCTAATTAATGTCACACATAACATGATTAACCTAAATTCTAACCCACACACCCCAGTTGATAGTTCAGTATTTTAATAGAGAGCGGTACAAATGTGTGTGTGGACAGAGAGAGAGGAGCGGATCTGTAGACACTGTGATCTACAGCACATTGAGGATGAGGAACACTTTCTGCTCTTCTGTCCCAAATATAACAATATAAAAGAAAGTTTTCTGGCCAGATTTGAAACCTTGATCCCGTCATCTGTGAACTGAGTGACACTGAGAAAATGTTCTTGTTACTCAGAGAAGATGATAATACAGCTGCACTAGCGGCTAAATATGTGCTAGCTAGCTGTTCACAACGCCAATTCTAGACTCTAGAGAGACCCAATGTATTTATTTGTTTACTAAGATTTATTCACAATGCATCATATGACATGATTTATACGTATATGTTTTACTTGTCTGTTTTATTTTATATATAACATGTTGATGCGAACATTGTGTTACAGTCATGCTAATAAAGCAAATTTGAAATTGAAACTGAGAGAGAGAGAAAGAGAGAGAGAGAGAGAGAGAGAGAGAGAGAGAGAGAGAGAGAGAGTCTGTCAGAATGACGGGTGAAACCCTCATGTGCTCATACACCGACGAGACCCATAAACGAGTGTTTTAACGAGCGCTGTGTGTGTGTGTTGACTCACTCGTGCAGGTGCAGCTAAGAGCTGGAGAAGAAAATAAACATCGTAAATATTCCCTCCACCTTTCATCTGCGGAAACTCCGGGAGAAACCAGCGGTCAAACCGCTTTTAGCCGCCTGAGCTTGATTTACTAATGCTTTCTAAGTCAATTTGAACAACCCCCTGATCTCGGT